ATTTTTTATTTTTTAAAATATAAATGATATAATTTATATGATGAATTCTTAAAATTTTTTAATCATAGCTCTGTATATGAGAATTGTGCACGAGAACTGATCATATATAAGTAGAAAAAAAAACAATTTCATTTTTTATATTTGATATTAATTTATGTAATCAAAATGTATCGAAATGAAATTTTTAATATTTTTATTTTATTTTACTAACTTTAAATTTATTTAATAAACTTCTTGCAAGTTAAATGTTCTTTCTTTAATATTTTTTGTTTTATGTTGCAAAATATTAATTATACTTAGTATCGTTATTATGTACAAAAAAATGTTAAATTCCTGGATTTATTAGAAATTAACTATGAAATAACACAAAACACAAATCTTTATAGTATATTTATTGATTGACATTATGGATACATTTTTTCAAATTAAATAATTAAAATTATATTTTGTTGAACCAATAAATTATTCAAATACAATTTTATTCTAATATCGTTGATAATTTTATGAATAAATATATAAAAATCAATTATATTGACTTTCAAAATCTAATCTTCTCATCAACATTAAAAAAATAAAAATAAAAATTATTTTTTTATTTGTTTATTTTTATGCAAGTATTTATATCAATTGTTACTTTATTTTAACGACACGATCTTATAAAAATAATGTTATGATTTTTTTATATTTTCTTTTTAAATCATTACAATTTTTTTAATAAAGAATTCATGGATAAAAAAGAAAAAATTAATTTTTTTGTACAAAATTATGAAAAACATGAGAAAAATTAGTGAAATATAAAATTTTAATTAAAAATTTTAAAAATTGAATGATTTTTTTTCACTTTTAATTAATATATATTGACGGACACATAGTATAATATAGACCATTGAACTAGAATGATTTTTTTTAGATTATTTCACATGTCTTGTTTGACTCGCAACGTAGTACGAGTAAGAAACTAATTATACATATAACTAAAAGAACCGATGTAGTTCTACGAGTAAATGTACAGATACCCAGCTTCTCTTTCTTTTTCTTTTTTTTGGCTGCTGGGTTGACCGGTAGCCAAGGCTCGCACGCGCTCGCCTTGGCAACCTCCCATATTTTTTTCTTTTTCATAGACCCAAGTCTTAGTGCTCGGGCATTTTTTTCTTCATATATATATATATATATATATAGCTTGTGATTAACAAACATATTTTTTTAGGTTACGAGTGGCCATGTTGAAACATTTTGTATTTTATTGTAAATTTGTAATGGATAATAATTTTTTGATATAATTTTATTTGTTAATAAATTTGTTTTGATATAATTTTATTTCTTAATAAATTTTGTTTTTTAATATATGAATTTTGCGATAAAATTTTACAATGTCAATGTTTTATTTTTTTAAAACATATTATTATAAGTTGTACAAGTAAATTATTTTTATATTTTTAAATGAGTGTTTTATTTTTTAATATATATATATATATATATATATATAGAGAGAGAGAGAGAGAGAGAGAAGTATATTTTACATAGTTTGACTCAATTGTTTTTTTAAATAATGAGTTAAAAAATTCACAAGTTTTATTTTTTTTATATATGTTTATTTAGAATTTATCAGAATCAATTTTGTTGTAGTTTTTATTTTAATCTATTGACTTCAATATATTTCTATAATTTATGTGGTTTTTTTTTGTATATTTTTCTATTTATTCTCTATACTCTCAATATATATATAGCTTTATTATAAATTAATTATATATAGATTCAATTTATATTAATAAAAAAAATAAAAAATTTTATTTACATTACACGATACGACTTATTAACGTTATATATATAATGATTGTCTATTAGTAACACAACTTGGATATCCGATCAGTATATATATAATTAAAAGAGAGGTGAGGGTGAACCTGTTCATAGCCTGTTCACCCAACCCCTTTAGGAATTTTTTTTCCCTCTTAGCTGCCTGCACTGGCAGGGCCAAACGCGTGGCCTCTTTTTTCCTGATTAACTCTCTCTCTCTCTCTCTCTCTCTCTCTCTCTCTCTCTCTCTCTCTCTCTATATATATATATATATATATATATATATATATATATATATATAAGTGAAAAATTAAAAGAGGTGAGGGTGAAGTTATTCATAGCATGTTCACCCCCACGTATTTGTGCATATAATATATATTTTTTTTATGAATCTTGCTTATATATTCATAGCATGTTCACCCCCACGTATTTGTGCATATAATATATTTTTTTTTGTGAATCTTGCTTATATATATAAGCAAGATTCACAAAAAAAAAAATATTATATGCACAAATACGTGGGGGTGAACATGCTACGAATAACTTCACTCTCACCTCTTTTAATTTTTCACTTATATATAAGCAAGATTCATGAAAAAAAATATATTATATGCACAAATACGTGGGGGTGAACATGCTATGAATAACTTCACCCTCACCTCTTTTAATTTTTCACTTATATATATATATATATATATATATATATATATATATATATATGAATCTTGTTGTGTTTTATTTTGTTATCAGGACAATGCTCTCTCATTCTCAACTTGATATAAAAGACTAAATCCTGTTATTTTTGGTAAAAAAATTATAAAAAACATAATAAATAATTAATTAAACACACAATTAAAAAAATATTTTATTTTTAATTTGATATATTTTAATAAAATTATAATATAATACGTATCATCAAACTAAAATTATTTTTTAAAATATTTTATATTTTATATTTAATCGGCAGCTTAGTAGTACGAGTAAAAATCTAGTATTATAAATAACAACTGCTTTAGGTTAATAACGCACACAGCAACAACAAATGTCAACTAACATTTCCTCCCTCTCGCCGCACAGCCCAACCTTCTGAACTCTCATTATTTCTCTAATTGGGTTGAAAAGTGGTTTGGGCCTTGAAGACTGCATGATTCTCTGGATGGGCCTCAGGTAGTCGAAACGTAGTCAAATTTTGAAACCCAATTAGATGATCTACTTACAGCCCAGGATACTAGTTGAATTACAACTTGAGCTGTCCAAATTAGATGATCTACTTGCAGCCCATTACTACTTGAGCGGTACATTATCTTCTTGAATTTTTCATCAATAATGTTTAGGCTTAACGGTAAGTCTTTATCTAGCATAATAATTTCCTACTTCGGCGGACGTATAGAATTTCCTACTTCCTTAAAAGCGGCAGCGGCACTTTTTTTTTAAAAAAAATTTACTCATTTACATGGGTTTTGGACCCATTGAGGAGGGACCAACCCAACAAGTCTTTATCACAAATTGTACTTCGATTAGTTTCTGTTATAAAATCAAAAGACCGCTGTGATACGTTCTCATACTAGAGATTTTATTAATTCTTTAAGTCAGTTAATATGAATTTTTATTGGGCGTATTGACGTAATTTGTCACAAAATCTAGAGTTGTGATAAAATAGTACGTATATTATTAATTTGAGATATTTAAACTTTAAACTATTATTTTTTAATAAATTTTATGTTCGACGGTCAATATTTTGACCGCTAAATGAATGCTTAAAAAGACATCATGAGGCCTTTAATATATATATATATATATATATATAGTTCTTATATAATATTTTGAGATTATTTTTAATAGTGTCGGAGAAAAACAACTTTTAGCCTTGAAAATGAATCTCATTTTAAGAGATGGTGTAAGACGAGCTTTTTAGCATGTTTTAGGATATAATGTGCAAGGGAGAAAAAGCTTTTGGAGGTTATTTTTTAAGTAGGAGGGGAAAAAAAACGCAAAAATCTTCTTTTTTGAAAAAGACAATGAATAATGCAAACCAAAAGGCATAACTACGTCGTTTTGACCCTTGCTCGGCCTTTTTTTCCTTCATTCGATTGAAATAACGTTTTTTGGATTAGTTAACTTTGTTCAGTCCCTCACTTTCTCTGCATTTATTTTTTAATCCCTCAATTGGCAATTTTCTTTTATTTTGTTCTTGATTATATCCCTCAATCGGTAATTTTGTTTTCTCCAGTTTGCATTCTTTTTATTGTTCCAATTTCAACTCTACATCTCTTTTCTTTTATTTTTATTTTTCCTTTTTTTGGTGTGTTTTAGTCCTCTTTTATTTTATTTTGTTTATATTGCGACTCTGTATTTTTCAATTTCATCCCTCTTGTTTTTTCTTTATATTGCTTTAGGTTTATAACCCACGCGCCACGCGGCAACAACCATTGTCAACTGACATTTCCCTCACTTTCCTCCCTCTCGCCACACGGCCCAACCTCCTAAACTCTCATTATTTCTCTAAAGGGGTTGAAAAGCGCTTTGGGCCTTCAAGACTGCGGGATTCTCTGGATGGGCCCTCAGGGTAGTCGAAACGTGGTCAGATTTTGAAACCCAATTATATGATCTACTTTCAACCCAGGATACTAGTTGAATTACAGCTTGAGCGGTCCAAATTAGATGATCTACTTGCAGCCCATTACTACTTGAGCGCTCCATTATCTTCTTAGATTTTTTATTAATAGTGTTTAGGCTTAACTATAAGATTTTTTCTACCATAATAATTTCCTACTTTCTTAATGTGGCAGCGGTACCTTTTATTTTCTTTTTCTTTAAAAATTAATTATTTATTTCATTGATCAGGATTAATTTAATATTATTTTATTAATTTCATTTTTTCATCTATCTTTCTAGTTTTTTTTTTAATCTTTTTATTTCTTAAAATAAAAATTCAAAATAAATTGATATTGAAAAAAATTAAGTTACAAATAGATTTAAATAATTAATTTTTAAAACAAAAAAGATTAATCAATTCTGAAACTTGAATAAGTAAATAATTAGTTTTTAAAACAGGAAAAAATATTTAATTGGTTTTCCTAAACTAGAAAAAACTAATTTATATATAGTTTACTCTTCGAGAGCTAACCAAAACCCATTTATAAAATAATAAATAAATAAATAAAAACCCTAAGATAGCGCTAACAAGAACCCTAACCCGAAGAATGAAAACATCTGATCAGGCGACAGACCTCCATGGCCAGTCAAAATCTTTCGTCGAGTTATTTTTGCAGAAAGCCCGTTCTGCCTTTACATGGAAAAGATCTCCTTACCAGCATGAGTCCATGAGAAGTCATTGTGAAGCCATCTCAAAAGCTTCCAAAAGTAGCAGACCTGGTGGGAATTCCCTGCATAAGGCGCCGGCAGGAGTGCCATCTTCGTCAGCGGTGAGATCTCGAAGTGGTTTCTCTCGTGGTGAGCTCCTTTCTACTTCATTATCTCCGCTCTAAATTTACTCTTCAAAGACAACAGTTTGTTTGAAGAGTGTAAAATAAATAACCGTTTTTGTTTCGGGCCGGTAAACTGAAACTTTGATCAAGCAGGTGGAGAAGAAGACGAAGTCACTGCTCCTACAGAGATTCCGCATCACATAAGGAAAGAAGTCAAGCTTAAAATGTTAAGGCAATTTTCGAAAATAATGGAACTTTCTGATCATCAGGCGACAGCCCTGCATGGCCAGTCAAAATCTTTTGCCAAGTTCTTTTTAGAGCATGCCCTTTCTGAAAGATCTCCTCACCAGCATGAGTCCATGAGAAGCCATCGTGAAGCCATCTCAAAAGCTTCCAAAAGTAGCAGACCTGGTGGGAATTCCCTGCATAAAGCGCCGTCAGGAGTGCCATCTTCGTCAGCGGTGAGATCACGAAGTGGGTTCTCTCGTGGTGAGTTCCTTTCCACTTCATTATTTCCACTCTAAATTTACTCTACAAAGATAACAGTTTGTTTGAAGAGACTGTAAAATAAATAACCGTTTTTTGTTTCGGGTAGACTGAAACTTTGATCAAGCAGGTGGAGAAGAACACGAAGTCGCTGTTTCTACAGAGATTCCGCATCACACAAGGAAGGAAGACAAGGTCAAAATATTAAGGAAATTGTCGAAACAACACCCAACAAGCGAGGTTGCTCTCAAAATTGCTTTTTTTGTTGAGTCCTTGAATGCTTCGAATCATATTACGGAAGAGATAATTAAAAAGTGCAAAGAAGGAGAACAGAAGTTGGAAGATGGATTGTTGCTAGTTAAACAAGCACAACAGCGGTTGGATCTGCTCTTGACGGAGATTTATGATTGATTAATGATAGAAGTATACTAATTTTGTTTTGTTTTGCTTTTCTTTGCTCTTGTGATTGTTATTACCCCTTCAAGTCATGTTGAAGGCTGCTACTAGTTTTCCTAGCATCGATTATGCCAAATAAAATTTTGCTATTTTTTTTGCTCTATAAAATTATTTCTTATGCATTTGATTTATTTTGTGTTCTTAATTGTTGTGTGTTTTAGCTTAAATATTTTAATTTTATCCTTTTTTCTTTTTTAATTTATTTTGTTTTCTTGCTATAAGAATTAAAAAAAAAGTAAAAAATTATGGAAAAATGATGAGAAAAATAAGTGTCTTTTAGAAAAAAAATATATTAAATTAAGCTATTTACCTCAATAATTTATTTTCTTGAGATCAAGGCAACAAAATCAATCTCATATTCGAAAAATAAATACTGAATTTTTATATGCTGATTCTGAGCATGGTTACGTTATTGGAGATCAGAACTCTGTTGAAAATAGCTTTGGACCTTCTAGACTGCAGGATTCTTTATTTGGTAGTCTAAAAGTGGTCAGTGGCTACAATGATTTTGAAACCCAATTAGATGGTCTATTTGCAATCCATTACTACTTGAGCGGTTCATTATCTTCTTGAATTTTTCATCAATAATGTTTGGATTTAACTATAAGTTTTTATCTACCATAATAATTTCCTAATTCGGTGGACGTTTAGAATTTCCTACTTCCTTAAACTGACAGCGGCACCCCTTTTTTATGTTTTTAAACTTATTTACATGGGTGTTGGAACTCGTTGAGGAGGGATCAACCCAAGACGTAAATTAGTTTTTACTAGTTTGATACACATGTTATATCGTGGTATATTTTGGTCGGATAATCGTCATGTATGTAAAGTTAATGATTTTTATGATGTAGTGTAGATAAAAATCTTATTTTTTTATAACCAATGTAAATCAAATTTATTTGCTGAGAAAAATTATTTGATTTATGTATATTTATTAACAAAATAATTAATAATATTAGCATAACAAGTAACATAAATAAATAAATCATTAATAATTTTTTTTAATTTTTTAAATGTTATGTATGCGGACACATAATTAATTTTCAACAAAACTAATTAATATATATATATATATATATATATATATATATATATATATATATATATATATATATATATATATATATATATATATATATATATATATATATATTATCTACACATATTTTTTCTACTAATATATATTAAATTAAAAATAAAAGATAAAAATTTAATTTCATAATTTTTAATCAATTTTTGTATTTTATTCATGCTTCTTTATGTTTTTCATAGATTTTGTTGTTACAAAAACATGATTCATATTTTTATTCATTTGTTCTTAAACAAAAACCTATAATAATATAAATATAAAATTTTATTATAAGATTTTTAAGAATATCGAACTACTTTTTTATGTGACTACGTCGAAAAATATATTAACAATCTATAAAAATTTATATAAAAATTAACTAATGAATCTTTTTTTTAAATTTTAAAATATTTAGATTTGATACACACACAAAATAATAATAATAATAATAATAATAATAATAATGGGCATAAAAACATATATTTGAATTATTAAGTGGTTCTTTTAAAATATTATTTTATTGAAAATAAATTAAATTTAGGATACTAAAAATAATTATAGGAAATAGTTGATGTTATATGTGTAGATGCATTATTAATTTTTAATAAAATCAATGATCTTAATACTTTTTTATATACATCATTACCATACTCTGTACAAATTTTTTAAAAAAAGTATGTTTAAAAAAACTTAAATTGTAAGAAATATATTAAAGTTAATAGAGTGTAATAAAAATAATTTAAAATTTTATTCCCAAAAAAATTGATTATATTAAGAATAAGGTAAAGAAACATGTGAATTCTATTATTTATTAAAAAACATATTAAAAATTCATGCACAAAGAAAGATAAATCATATTTATTAACAAATAAAATTTTATAAAAAATAAAAAATTTAATTTAATGTGAATTTTTATAATAAACGATAAATTTAAGGGATTAATTTTAATCAATAAAAAAATACAATCCAATATATGTGTTTTTTCTAAAATTTAAAAATACAAGAGGCCAAAAACATTTTTTTAAAATGTGAGAAACAAAAAATATATTTTGAAAAAATGTGAGACAAAAATAGATTAAGTTAAAAAATAAGAAGTCAAAATATTTTAAAAATATAAGGATTTAAAAATACATTTTAAAAACATAAGGGATCAAAAAAGAATTTGAAAATGAATACACAAAAAACTATAAAAAAAAATTTATGAAAATGCCATTATTAAAATTACAAAATTACCCCTCTTTGAACAGTAATAAATAGTGAATTAAGGCAAATGAAAAGTAAATGAACATCATTTCACCGTTTATTGGTCCCAGTTCTTTTAGTTTTTAGTTAATTGTAAAATCAAAAGACAAATGTGATATGTTATTATAATAGAGATTTTATTAACTCTTTTAAGACAATTAATGAGAATTTTAATGGGTTTAATGGCGTAATTTGTCATAAAATTTAGAGTTCATAAAATAAGATATATATTACTAATTTGAGATATTTGAACTTCAAACTAATATTTTTTGAACAAATTTTATTTTTTTTGTGTAATGTTTGAAGGTCAAAATTTTAACCATTATCTAAATGCTTAAAACATTGTCGTTTTAAATAGTTTAATTTTTTTAAAAAATAAAATTAGTTTTAAAAAAATTATTTAACAATAGTCAAATTTAAGGAAGCTTAAGTGATTTTGTTGTTTATGAATTTTACTTTTGTTGTTGGTTAATTAATGTATAATAAATCCATCTAGTAAACAAAAATTAATTAAAATTCTCAAAAAAAAATTGAAATGTTTAAAATGATGTGTTTTAAGTATCTCAGTTAACGATCAACATTTTAACCATCAAATATAACAAAAAATGATTAAATTTGTCTAAAATATTGATCATTTTAATCTTTTGTCCAAAGTTTTTTAACTGAAAGAGGCACAAAATAAATCATGATAGCAGGCTAGCTAATGATCAATAAAAGAAAATTAGGATAGAAATCAGTTTAGGTTGTTAATCAGTCAGGTAATGCATATGACTTAGTCAAATCCAATCAAACTCATTAGGTAGCTAGTTGCAAACTTACTACTATATGTGGAAAATCCTCAAAAAGACTAAATTTATATGTCAAAATCCTCTTTATCCCAAAGGAAAAACTCCACTAACATACATATATACATATATCACTCAAGTTTTTATGTTGATTTGAAAAGCAAAATTTTTCTTATTTTATATATTTATGTATTAATATCAATACAACATTAGATCACATACATACATATATATATATATATATATCAACCTGAAAGTTACTGTGTGAATATGTCTTAAACTATTGAAGTTGATGAGTGCTCCCTAGTCGACTCATAAGGGACCGTTCAATGAAAACTCAAGTTAATTGACTTAGAGAGCTAATAAAAAATGATCAATTATAAGACCATATTACAGTAGTTTTTCCATTTAATAAAAATGCTCAGTTATAAGTTAATGCTCTCATCAAACGATATATGTGGGTTGCGATCCTATCCAAATCAAAAGAAAATTAGAAAATTATTTAGAAATATAGAGTCAAAGATTGTCAGGGACATATAAAGTAAAACTAAGAGAACCATCAATAATAACCAGTTTATATATATATAATTTGTTTGTTTGTTTGTTTGTTTTTTGTTTTTTTTTTTTTTTTGAGGTTTCAAAAAAGGACTAAGTGAATAGTTTTTAAAATAAAGGGACAAAATATAATTTACTCAAACATTACAGCATACTATAAATAACAACTGCTTTAGGTTTATAACATTAACGCACGCTACAACAACAAATGTCCATATACGTTTCCCTCACTTTCCTCACTCTCGCCACACAGCCCAACCTTCTAAACTCTCACTATTTCTCTAATTGGGTTGAAAAGTAATTTGGGCCTTCCAAACTGAGGGATTCTTTGGATGGGCCACAGGGTAGTCGAAACGTAGTCAGATTTTGAAACCCAATTAGATGCTCTACTTGCAGCCCATTACTGCTTGAGCGGTCCATTATCTTCTTGAATTTTTCGTCAATAATGTTTAGGCTTAAACGTAAGATTTTTTTCTACCATAATAATTTCCTACTTTCTTAATATGGCAGCGGCACCTCTTTTTCTTTTTCTTTTTTAACATTCATTTCTCTTCTTTTTCTTCCTATATATTGTTTAGTATTTTTATGATTATATGTGATATAAATTTGATTTATTTAGTTCTATATATATATATATATATATAGATATATAATCCTTCCCTTTATGTCAATATTTTAAAGAAATCTTTAGTTCTAACAATTATTCTCTTCCATTTTCTTTATTCTCTTTTGCGGTTTACCTCCCAATTAATGGCCACGTTGAAAGAGAACTAAATAAAGGATAAAGCATTATCTTTTTTAGAGTCAATCATTTGATTATGTTTTCTTTTATTTCTTCCGAGATACATATTATTCTTTCTGTTCTAAAAAAATAAAAATAATAAAAATTCACATAAATTAAAAATTATTAATTGTTATATTTTAGAAAAATACATAATTTAAAATTTTAACTAGATAAATATTTTAAAACGGATACAAATAAAAAATAAACAATCTCTTTATATATATATTAGGCAATCATACACCATTAATTACAAATATATGGTACAAATTTTTTTAAGAAAATATGGTTTTTTTTTATTGTAAGAAAATAGTAAATTTTATTTCAATGAATTGAATAACAAATTAAATATAGCAAAAGAATATCCGAGCTAATTTTGGATTAATTGGCTAACTATAAGTAAATATATGTAGGGTAAGGTGTGAAGGGAAGGGAAGGGAAGGGAAGGGAAGGGAATGATGATTAAAAACTCAATTAATTAGCTGTTATTATAAAATTGAGAGACTACCGTTGTAGTTATTATACTATTACAAGTAGCAGAAGTCTGGACCTTCCCGCTTCTTTCCAATCTTACGCAATTATCTCACTCGCGCGCTCGAGGGTTTGAAAATGGCGAATTTGAACTCCAGTTACAGAGATTCATCTCCTCAAATTCCATCAGATTCAGGTTTCCTTTCTCATACTCATCCTTAGTTCCTTCGATTTTCTTTTTAATTGCTCAGAAATTTTGAATCCTCTTGGTTATGCTGTTCTTTCTCTGTTGTTTAATTTTTGTTTTAGATTATAATTTTTATTTTAATTCCCTCGGGTATATGACTAGTTATTATACTATTATAATTTTTGTTCAATAGCTAATCTCGTAACTTTTTTTTTCTGCAAATAAATAAGATTGTTCACCATTAATTTGTTTGGTTGCTGAGAAAGTGGAGGAAATTGAATATCTTGAATAGTGTCTTTTTTATAAAACATTAATTATGTATTTAGCTTTCTTGAGATCAAATTTCATAAATTCTTGCACCTTTCATACATTTTCTCTGCCAATCAACGAGAGCCTTACCTTTTGTTTGGTTGCTGAGAAACTATATGAAAAATCCAACACCTAATCACGTTTTATTGTTTCAGTCATATTATTATTGGTGAGTTATTCACGTATAAAACTGTTTATTAGTTTCATAAAATTTGAAAGGATTAAACACACATTGTAAATTACTTGCGAAAAGGAAACTATCCCCTTACGCATATTGACCAACCCTTTCTCCTGAAGCAAATGTAGCCTATGAAGAGTGGAGCATTCAAATGCAGAATTTTTTCGTTTCAGAGGGGCTCTGGGATGTAGTGCAAAACGGGTATGAGCTACCCAAAGATGCTGCTGAATTAGCGTCTTGGGATGACAAGAAGAGAGTGCAATTTGATGAAAATCAGTCCAAGGATGCAACTGCCTTACAATATATTAAAGAAGGAGTCAGCAGGAGGCTATTTTCAATTATTAAAGCAGCATCAACGGCAAAAATAGCATGGGAGATGTTGATGAATGAATTCAAAGGTTTGGACATGGTAATTACGAATCCATGCTCCTGGCAATTCTTTTGTTCTATTTTAGTTTCTGTTCTTTTGTTCTGTTTTGGTTTCTGAGCCTCAACGGTTTTTTTTTTGCTTTTTTGTCAGAGTAAACATTTTGGAAAGAATAAAGCTCAAGAGGAAGAACATTTGAATGGGAAGAATGCAACTGAAGACAAAGAACATTTGAATGGGACTAAAGATCAAGATGATGAATATTATAATTGGATTACGCGCATCAAGTATGACCTTGCAGGATCGACCTCGATACCGTCAAGTTTTTGTATCTGCAGTATTCCAAGCAAGCTCAGAAATGTGAAAAATGATGCTTATAGTCCTCAGATTATCTCAATTGGACCTCTTCACCACGGGATGGAGCAACTGCTTGCTATGGAGGAATACAAATCATACTACACGTTTGCATTGCTACTAGAAACACGCAATCCATTTAAGATTCTGGATGAATGCGGTAAAGCTATTCTACAGTTTGACAAAAGAGTTCGTAATTGCTACTTGGAGCAAATTAGGTATGACAAATATGAGCTTGCCAGAATGTTAATACTAGATGGTTGCTTCATACTCGAGCTTTTCTTAAGAGTTTTTGAACCTGATTCTGCCAATCAAGATCCTCTGTTTACAACTTCCTGGATGATATCGGCTATTCGGCGTGATTTGTCTCTTCTAGAGAATCAAATCCCATTCTTTGTTCTCAGTGAGCTGTACAAGACTATAGTAGAGGGTGAACGTAGAGATACAGCCCCTCTCTTGAAGCTTGCTCTCTATTTCTTCAAACCAAAGTTGGTTATCAACGAAAGGACATTGCATGATGGATGCCATTTACTTGATATACTGCATAAGTCCTACTTGCCTTTTTCTCACAGAAAAAATCCAGAGGACCAAGGAGCATGGAAATTAGTGCTTTGTGCAGAAAGTCTAAGAGACGTTGGAATTGAATTCAGAAAGGAATCGACAGCAAACCTGTTTGACTTGACGTTTGAGAATGGTGTTTTCAAGATCCCACCGTTGAATGTGAATGATGCAACAGATTCCCTTTTACGTAACCTCATTGCTTTCGAGCAATTTTTCCCCAGTCACGGACAGCATGTAACGTCGATGCGTTACTCATGGATCGACTGATAAATACAACAGGGGACGTGGAATTGCTCGGGAAAAGCCAGATTATTGAAAATGATTTGGGAGCTACGAAGCTGTTACTGATCTGTTTAACGATATTTGCAAGGAGGTTGCTGTGAATGAATTTCATTTTGGAAGACTATGCAAGCAGGTGGATGCCTTCAAGAATAAAAGGTGGAATGCACACAAGGCTATGTTCAAACGCTCCTATCTGACAAATCCATGGAAAATCATATCCATTGTTGCTGCTGCTTTGCTCCTTTTCCTTACAGTGTTACAAACCTTATACACAGTACTTTCCTATTACCCTCGTTGATCCTTTCAGTACTTTCCTATTACCCTCATTGATCCTTTCATTCTTTAGATATATCCATGTATAGATGTAGTTTCATCGATCGATTTGTTTCACTACTTATAGATTATAGATATAGTTTCATCAATTCATTTGTTTGACTACCTATGTTTCCGCTTTACACAGATCCATGCATAGAGATATATTTTCATCAATCAACTCGTTTGATGACCTTCATCTCCGCATTTGATGTATCTCTGGCTATCCAAATATGAACTTTCTTTTGTTAGAAATCGCTATTACATACTAATAAATTCGATAAATCATTCCAAAAGGGTGAACTTTTTTTATCAATTTGATCCTTTTTTTTTTCAAAAATTAACCTGAAAAAATAAATTTTACTTTAATTCAAATTCAATGCACTTTCACTGAACTTGTGATTAATTAATATCCTAAAGAGAGAAATTTATCCTTCTTGTGAATTAAAATTAAAATACATTAGACAGGTTTTGAAGAACTAAGCTTCCTATCAAAAAAGATACAAGTCACAGGTTTTGGATAGAATTCAGTACAACAAAACTACTGCACTGGATGATGCTCTTGGAAAACTTAGTAACTTTTGGAAGAGTTCCAGCAACTCATCTGAGGTGACACAGCTTTTCGGATCTGAACCATTGCTCCTCCTTTTGGATGTGATCACCATCTTTTCCAAACCAAATAAATTCTTAAGCAGAAACTGCACCAATTGAACAACAAAAGGCTCTGCCACCGAGCCATGTATTGTAACTGTTTGCAGGTTGTGTGGAAGATCTTGGGGAGATTCATCAAGCTTACTCCAATAACTTTCAACAGCTAATGCACGTTTAAGGAAATCAGGGAAAGTAAACTGAAATGTCAAAGAACAGCTTCCATCAGATGTACCTCAAATAGAGAGATGATCCAAAGGACCATAAGAATAGGAGGCAAACATAGATGTGATGGATTTCTTCAACCTACATAAGTCTTTACTATATGCATATCGAGCATCTCCAAACTAGGAGAACTCCTCAGCATGCCAACAATCCCTGGAAGATGCTCCTTGGACAGATCTGTATCAAGAATTAGGTGCTTCTGAGGAATAGAGGGGAAAGAAATCTTCATCAATTCCCATGCGGTCCAAAGCTAATCACAGTAGGAAAAAAAATTAATGGAGTATAACAGTGTCAACTTAGAGGTCAACTGAAATCAAAATATATGCACGAAAATGAAACAAAAATAAGAAGACAGCAGAACTTTAGAAATGATATGAGTTAGGTGAAGCACAACCTGGATAGATTGTTTGTGTATTGTAAGAACCTTGGCACTATTCAAATTCTCAAGAATCTTCATGGCCTCATGATTTTTATCCTCAGAGCTGCTGAAACGGTACATGAAGCCAAGGGCAGCATCCTTAAGAGAGGATAAGTTCTTTAGGTCCACTTGTCCTACAGAGCTTGAAATATCCAATGAAATAATGTTTGGGCCAGAAATTTCCAGCCTCGACTCCGGATATCTTCGAACAACAACTTTCAAATATTTGAGGTTTGGTGAAACAAAATTTAACTTGCAAAAATTATAACATTTTATCAAAGACAAATTTTCCAGCGATGGAAACCCAGATAATATCTCTTCTATTTTATTCCCTTTCAAAGCAACATATTTAAGAAACAAAGTTCTCAGAGATCTCATAAGAATCTTCCCCTGCAGCAGACTTTGCAATAAACTAACTTCAGCTCCCTTATCGAGTCACAGTTAAATACGAAATCAGGAATCTTGTATAGATTACCAGGTAGATCAAGAGAACCATAACAATCCATGAAATCAAGGTCAAGAACCTGAACTTCCCTTCTTATTGCAAAACGAGTCCACGTATTGATCGTATTGGCAAGCCTCATTTCTTTTTCAGCTAATCTCTGGCTTTCAGGGTCAGGATCAAATATATAATCAGTATAATGCATAAAAACTCAAATTTCAGATGGAAAAGATGAATTGGATTACGTTCATGAAGAGTTAGCACATGACGAACAAAATTATTGAACCTCTTATTAGATCTTGGGGCTTTCTCATCGTACTTGGGCTCTACACAGTCATGGAATGAACAAGCATCTATATGGATGTTGTCAGAGGTAGCCCAGAGAAGTCCAAATCTCCTTAAAAGTGAAGTCTTAACTGCATCTTGAGTTGGCAAGAAGGACAAGATGCGGGCAAGCACCGAATCCGGCAAATTGCTAATCCTGTCTATTTGAACCTCTTCCTCCACCTCATCTTCCCATCCCTTATTATTCCTTTTGAAGCTACTACTAGCCTCATCATTAGCATGTTTTCTCTTCATGATTCATAATCTGAAAATCAAGCTTCTGAAATAGAAAGAATCCAGACAACACAAATTGTTAAAACGTTAGTCAAGAACACCAAAATGAAGGACTTTTAGCTGTGATCCAGTTCACCATATCTCCTAAAGTGAGAACTGAGAAACATAAAAACCGTGAAGTGGGTTACTGTCAGTCTGTCACTAAGAATATTAAACCCTTAAATGGCGGTTAAAAGAAAAACAGACTAAGGAGAACATGGTAGTTGTGATTATAAGTGCAAGACATAACACAAGAAGAATGCAAGTAAAAAGAAATCAATAGGCATCAGAGCCATTACCTGAAAAGATGAGAAGGCCGCCCGACTAGGTTGGCAACCTTCCCTCATGGAGAGTAAGAGAGGTCATGGTCTTCTTCATCTTTCAAGTCTCTTGCTGGCTCTTGACTTTCCTTTGTTTATATAGGACAGCAGGAGGCAAGGAATCCAAAAGCCAAAAACACATGTCTTCGTAACTTTTCCCTCATGGGATTTGAGAAGTCATGGAACTAAAGGGTCCTTCCAAACTCGAAATTGGTGCATTGAACTCGCATATGGAAGTCCATGAGAGAGGGTATAAGTTTCTTGGCTTTGCAGCTGCAATCAATCAATGAAAATGAATAATATTAGATATCTATTTACTATTGTATCAGATTTAGAACTTGAAAAGTCACATTATTGGTGTTTGTGTGTTTTTCCCTTCGTAGATTTAATTAAGCTTTCGTAACTTTGAAACTCTTGAGAGACATGTTTGATTGGTTAAGAACATGCAGGTGCTGGACGTTGTAGGCAACAAGCTTGGATTGCAAGAACAAGCCTCATTTCTCTCTCAGTTAATTTCTGGCTTCCAGGGTCAGGATCCAATATATAATCTTCATCCTCTTATTACGTCTTCAGCCATCACCATAATAATACTTAGGCTATTCCCAATAAACATATCTCTGTGTCTTCAGGACTAGCTGGAACAGTGAGTAGAAGACCAATGAAGAGAAGTTCCACCATCACTACTTCTAAACCAGCCAAGCTCGCGGTTAACCATCAATAGCTCTCTCACTATCCCCACATGCCCATTTGCAGCAGCAATGCATATTGGGCTAAAGCCATCTTGGTTAAGCCTTGTAGCTAAATCTGCTTTCTTCTACAGAAACTCCTTCACGAATTCTGTGTGACCAGCTAAGCAATCAACATGTAGGATTGTTTGAGAGGATTCGTGTAAGGAACAACTATCTAGTAGCTAACTGTTTTCACTAAGAAACTCTTGTAGTTTAATTGTGTCTCCTTTATAAGATGCCTAGAACAACCTTCGATTCATTTTCTTAAATGGAAATATAACTAAACGTAGTCTAATCCATGAAAAATAAGCGAACTAATTGTGAGACAAATACTTGTGCAAGCGAATGCAATATTTGATTGTTTTTAGAGTATAAAATCAGGAATCTTGTATAAAGTCTCAGTTTCATCACTATCACCACGAGCCAAGAAATCCAGATCAAGAACCTTAACTTGCATTCTTATTGAAAAACGAGTCCATGTATTGATCTCAGTGGCAACCCTCATTTCTCTCCTAATTAATTTCTCATCAACTGAATAAGGCATAAAAAAGTCAAATTTGAGACGGAAACAATGAAGTGGATTACGTTCATGAAGAGTTAGCACATGACGAACAAAAGTTATGAACCTCTGATATCTTGGACCATCATTTTTATCATAATAATACTGAAGCACTTCACAGTCATGGCACGAACAAGCATCGAATTTGAGATTGTCAGAGGTAGTCCGAAGAAATCCAAATCTCCATAAAAGTGAAGTCTTGACTGCATCTTGAGTTGGCAAGAAGGATAAGATGTGGGCAAGAACCGAGTCCGGCAAATTGCTAATCCTATCAATTTCTCACTCCTTCCTTTTCCCATTCCTTTTCGAACTACTACTACTAGCCTCACCAATAACATTCTTTCCCTTCATGATTCACAATCTGAATATAATCCCCAAAATTCGCACAAACTGGAACTCAAGCTTCTGGAATACAAAGAACCGACATAACCCAATTGTTAAGACAGTAGTCAAGAACATCATGCTGAATATTAATTAACAAACACAAAAGTCAAAAAATGAGTCAGTGACAGACAACATATAAAACCCTGTAATGGCAGCTAAAAACTCACCAAAATGGCGGAACGGATTTTTTTTTTCCGGGTTAAAATAAAGAAAGGTGATTAGCATACAAGGAAGAGATGACAAGAAGAAAACAAGCAAAACTTTGTTCATGGCTACCAGTGAAATTACCTGAAAAGATGTAAAGGATGCCCTTTTTCGCTTAGATTAGCAACCTTGCCTCATGGACAAACAGAGAGACAGTAAGAGCTCAATCTCCTCTTGTTTCAAGTCAGTTGCCAGCTTTTCCCTTTCTTTTCCTTTGTGGAGAAGGAAATACTTCAATCTAGAGGAAACGTCAATGGGCAAAAATTGTCCCTCAAAATATTATATCACCATCAGTTCTAGAAAATACCCCAAAAAGATTATTTACAGACTTGGAATTCTCTCGTAACTCTTTGACTTAAAGATGCCAACTTTACTCCAATTACTATAAAACCTGCCTAGCTTCCACCGCCTTACTATTGCACCAAAACGATGCCGTATGGACGTCCTATATATAAACACCAAACTTCCGCACCTTGCATGAAAAGCAAATTTCAGGAGGAGGGAGAGGAGAGAACTTGACACCGGGAGGAGAATGCCCGCCGTCGCCCACGCCACCGCAACCACAGTCCGATCGGCGTCCAAGACTTCTCCGCTTCTCTCTCCTGCCGTTTTCGCTGCTTTTGTTGCTTACCGGTATGTATATTCATTCTTTCAAAAGAAGAGATCTCTCTGGTTTTTTTTTGAGAGAGAGAGAAGGAAAAGGAAGGGAAAGTGAAGGGTTTTGTATTTGTTTTATTTTTTTAAAATATAATTAATGGGCTTACAATTTTATTTATGTTTGTGTAATATTTAGCGTAAAAGGTTTTTTTTTTTTTTTTTTTTTTTTATGAGCTTACAATTTTATTTATGTTTGTGTAATATTTAGTGTAAAAGGTTGGTTTTTCTTTTTGTGTTGTGTTTTCTAGAATTGAAAAAATGATAGTTAGATTACTGCTGTAAAAAGGGATAGTTTTTAGGGTTTAAGGTTAGAAAAAGGGTGTTTCTTTTGATGTTTATTAATAGGCTTTGAGGGAAAAAAAATTTTTAATGAGCAAAGGCTTGTGTTTTGAGAGGTTTAAGGATCAATTAGGGAATTTCGTAATCAAGATTAGTTTGTGGTATGTTGTGTTTAGGAATAGTTTACAGTAAACATTATGGTTTCTGGGCATGAATTATGTAGATGGTAGAGTCACTTGAGTAATTAAATGATTGGGACATCATTTGTTTCATTAGTTTTTTTTTTAAGAGAGAAAAAATAATTGAGTTTGTAACTGTGATAGCAGTTTTAAGACCAAATGAACCAATCATTAAGTCTGTAGTATTTTTATTGCTTTTTGTCATTGTCGTTTATGAGGATTTTGGGTAATCATTTGCGATTGTTTTACCTGAAATTCCTTATTCGAAGTCTTTGAGTACTGAAGTAGAGATATTTATTCGTAAACATGATCTAATAGAGGAAATTTGGAGTTGATTTTCTACTTATTTAGTTCTAATTTTTTCTGTCTGTGCTGAAATGTATGTTATACTGATGATGGCAACCAGGTATAAGGGTGAGCTTGCGGACGGATGTAAGAAGATCTTTGGGGCCAATGAGCCATTGTCAAGTAGCTCAAGTGTAGCTTGCGAGTCTAACTTGCCTGCGTTGCCTATTTTGTCAATCAGCAGAGATTCACGTGTTGGATCTTATCAACCTCTGCATGCCTGTTCTTCTAAAGGTCATTAATTTCTCTGCAAATATTTTCTTTGAACAAATTTTTATTCCAACTGAATACGGATTACTGAGTTAGCCTCGAGTATTACACAGAGGGCAGAGAAAAAGTCTGGAAATATTTTTAAAATTATTCGGTCTGTGTATCTGGACATTTACAATGAATGGATTTTTTTACGAAAGGATGTGGGTTGAGCTCCGCACTCTGCTCTTCATTCTCAAGAAGCATTCCATAGAGTTGTGGCAAATTTTTATGTTAACAATACAGCAGTTACTTGTCTACATGAGCACCTCATCTAGCCGAAATTATCTTCACTGTAATTTTTTTTTATAAAGAGCAATTGACATATTAATTCAATGCATCAATATGAATTTGCTAATAGAGTAATAAATGATGTTTATTTGGATAAACTATTTTTACAGAGCTTGAATAACAAAATGCTTACATGCTATTTTATACAGAGCAATTAATATGTCAATAGACTGCATCTGTATGAGATTTGCTTATAGAGATACAAAAGAATATCTGGTTGGATAAAGCTTTATTTTACAGAGCTTGAGTACCAAAACATTTACGTGTTATAGATATGAAATTGTTTCATATGCATTTATTGGGTTTTAAATCATGTTAGTTGTTCTAGTGGTGTTTTGAATCATCATCTTTCACTGCTAGGTAAGAGCATTATTATGCAGAGAAAAGGTTGCAGGTGCTATATATGTTTCGGACAAATATTTCACTGGTTCTTTTGGAGGTTATGAAAAGGCAAGGTTGTCATATATTTAGGTGATGGTTGTGCTTTGGGACATTAATTGTTCATGACTGTAATTTGTTGTGATTGGCAGGGAACACATTGTCACCTCTTCCTTCTGCATCATCTTCAATTTTCGGAGATCTGGACAGGTTATTAAACACAAAACCCTGGTCACCTGCACAGAGAAGATCCCTGAAGCCCCCAAGAGCACTGCATAAGAATGAACTTTTTGGTTTCCGCTACCCTGTATTAGCTGAGAAGCCTGAATGGTGGTGGAGGACGCTGGCATGTGTTCCTTATTTAATTGCTTTGCAAATATCGGATACAGGATATTTTATCCAACCCTTCCTTGAACACTATGAGGTCCTTGGAGATTTGATATATTTTGTACCAGGAGCCATTACCAGATTACCTGCGTGGTTCACTATGGTATATTGCTGCTTTGCTTACATTGGGATCGTGAAGAACAAAGATTTGCCTCACTTCTTTAGGTTCCATCTGATGATGGGCATGCTATTGGAAACAGCCCTGCATATCCTGTGGTATGCAAGCAATTTCTTTCCTCTCATACACTACAACGGTAAGTTCGGGATGCATTATTGGGCAGGTGTGGGATTTGCCTACATTATGATCTTGTTGCAGTGCATAAGGTGTGCTCTTGCGGGCGGTTATGCTCACCTCCCTTTAGTAAGTGATGCTGCATACATTCATACTCTGTTCAACATAGGAGGTTACCAACGACCTTTCTAGATTTCTTTCTTATGTAAAGAGGAAGATCCACAGAGCTTGCATGCTCATGTTGGAGGGACTGCAATTCAAGGCAGGACAACGCAATACACAGTCTTGTCGTTGAGAACATCGAATAAGAACAAGGAAGAAAAGGGAGCAGGGTTGGTTAGTCTACAAAGAAAAAAAAATTTATTTCATTATATTTTTTATTGATTACCATTTACATCTATAATTCTGCTTTCCTAGTGTCAGCTTGAGAAGCTGTTGAGGTTGAGGTTGGACTCTATGTTTGATGCATATCATTTGTTGCATTATAGGGTCTAGTACTCCAGATGTTTAACGCCTAGCAGGATCTTATTTTATCTACTCCAGCAATGTTTGGTGTGTTCATTGGCTGTATGTCATCTCCACTTGCTTTCTGTCGTAAACAGTCTGGGGATGTTACTAATAAATTCCCTTCTGCAATGATGTAGAGGCAACTCTAGAAATGCACAGTTAAGGTCCTAGTCTAGGCTTCTTGCATCCTTTATACATGTCGCTAACTGTGTTGGGAGTGAAAATGGTGGAAAGAATATGCAAGGGAATTGTAGAGAATGATGGGCCCTATATTCACAATAATTAATGGCTATTTTCTGTGAAGCTAGACAATAGCATGTGAAAGTGTCCATTTCTGAGGATGGTGGGTTCAGATGGCTAAGGAAGACGAGTTACTTATACTAGTCCTAATGACACTCAAGAAAAGATTTAAAAACTGTAAGAAACCTACAAAGTGGCCTTGGGATCTAAGTATGGTAGTTTGGATCTGCCTGCAAGTGAAGGAGAGCAGATGACAAAGGACAGACAGTCTAAATCATCTTTAGGCTCAGCTGTTGAAAAAAAGAGAAAAAACGGGAGAGATTTGGCACCAAGTCATGAAATTTATGCTACAAGTTTGTCAAGAATGGCCCATCAATTCTCCCATAAAAGCTAGTGATTATGCAAACAATAATTTCATTAGTGTCATTTTCATGGTCATTAATCAGCAGATTATTCCAAGAACATGCTCTAACCTTCTCTTTCTTTCTCAGAGAGAACACCTGTCATTGGAAGATGAAGAAAGCAACATCTTTGAAATGTGAAATTATTATTTTTCTGTGGCCGCCTCTTTATTTATTTCCTCTCGCTTAATCTTCCAAACAAAGAAAGATATTCTTTTCAAAACAAATTTAAAAAGTTAGTATTCTGTTGTTATCAGGCATAAATAAAAATTTGAAAAAAAAAAGAAACAAGGTCTGTTTGTTTTTGCAAAAAAACATTTCCGACACCCAAACTTGTGACCCAAGTCTGTACTTTTTATCTGCGAGTTGCAATGACCCAAAACCTTAAGATCGACCAATTCAGCTTTTTCCTACGAGATTAGCAGTTTTTTTACCATCTAATCAACTCGACAATGAAAGGCCAAGGTGTCACTGTAAATGTATCACAACCAGTCACTTAACATCACATAAATGGACCATTTTTATGCTTCACTGCAAATTACAATGTAGTCCCTATATTTTCAAGAAACTAATGACTTTATCCTTTTGGTTTAGGGATGGCAATTTGGGTACAACCGTTGAGTATTGGTCTGACCATATGAGATGATTTTGAGCTTTTATGGTTCGTATCCATTAAGATATGAGATACGTATAGAAGAAGATTTTTTTAAATCTCATGTCTAAAATCAAAATATTTATATCAAATACTCAATATTCGTACTAATCTAATATAAATTTATCATCTTTTATCCTCGTTAATTTTATATAAAAATAAGATGAGTATTAATAGATGTAAATACATATGAACATATTTATTTTACAGACTAAGCATAGCCGAATGATGATAAATGATATATATAATCTCTATATTTCTATTTTTGTTTATAACTTACTAGCTTTTTTTTAAAAAAAGTACTCCATTAAGTGTTGAGTTTTTTTTTTAAAAATAAGATTTGAGTTAATATCAATTAGAAATTATTGTTTTTAATTTGGATTTTCATTTAGGTATTCTTAAGTCCTTTTTCATGCATTAAAACTAAATTCATCTATCCGATTCATTCAAAAACAGGCTATCTTTATCAGAATTAAGGGATTATGGTCTTTTCACAGTCTGAACTAAAATAAAATATTTTTTATAAGCAAACATTCAAGAAAGTTAAGGGATTAATTTATAATTTTTTACCCTAGAGGGACCATCTATTAATCTCTTAAAAACATAGGGACTAAGTTATGTGATAATAAATTAATTAATTATCTACATAAAAACAAAAAAAAACGAAACGAAACAAAACTCTTTCCCTCTCTAAAATCTATCTTCCATAACCATCATTAACTGTATCTGTAGTCCGTGTTCCATCAAAAGAAAAGTAAACTTCTCTGTCTGCTTCATTTCTCTTTCAACACACAAAATCCCAAAAAAAGAAATCCAGCAAACCCAAAAACCCAAATTTTGAAAGTCAAATCATATTTCAGATCCCAATCTCAAGTTCTCAACTTTTCACGATCTGGGGCGTAAAGATTTGAACTTGAAATCTATAATTGGGATCTCTTTTTCCATTTTTTCAAGGAAAGTTACTTTCTTTGGAACCAAACAGAGCTTAAATTTGAGATGAGGAGGAGACCAGTGGACTTTAGGCGGCCGGGAAGGAGGAGGATATCAAATGTGGTGTGGTGGACTTTGTGTGGTATATTTGTGTTGCTGTTTATAGTTATTTTTAGCAAAGAGAGTCATATTGAATCAAGACCCACCAGCTCTAATAAGGTAAAGATCTGTTCTTTACTGTTTTTTCTTTCTTTCTTTTTTAGTTTTGTTTTTTTTTTTGCTCAATCTACTAGTTTTAATTGTTTGGTTGATGAGAAAATGTGGGAATTTTGAGGGGATATGTTTTGAGTTTTGGGATTTTTTTTTGTGATTTGGGATTTGAAGGGACAATAGGGCGTAATTGGGTTTGGGTTAGTACTGTCATTTGGCTTAATGAAGGTTGAGATTTACAGTTTGTTGTAGTATTATGACATGATTGTTCGCTTAAATTGCTATTTTTGTTGGTTTATGCTTTTGTGCTGTTGGGTTTGGCGTTATGTGTAGAATGGAATTGTTGTCTGATCTGTGACTTTGCTTGAGCTAGATGGAGTTATACTCTACATGAGGGAAGGGCTGCATTAAGTAGTTTCGAGTAAATTGTTTTGAAATATTAAGCTTGCAAATTGATTTGCTTCATTGGAAGTTCAAAGTTGTATTGTTAGGACATGCCGTATGCTTCCAATAGCTTATTAGGTACTGTTCCTTTAGTGCTTATCATTGGCTTGATCCAGCTTGGTAAATTTGATTCGGGTTGTTGAATTGTCTTAAATGATCTTATTAGGTATTCATTTGAGGAATTTATGTTTGAGGCCTTGTTTGTGCCGTGCATTGCTTCAATGTTGGGCATGTGAAGTATAAACAATGTTAGAAGGACGTTGAAATTCTAAGAATTTTGTATAAATACCTTAATGGTCCACTAGATCATGTACATGCAATGTTGATAAGTGAGGGTGGTTATTTATAAGAGCAGGTTATACTGTATGGAAAAATAAGAGAAGAATGAGTAATAGGTCATTGTTGTTATTTATATGCTGAACAAATTGAAAAAATATTTTTGGAGATGAGTTTGATAACTTACATGAGTTCTATGGTGAGGAATTTTGGTAGAAGAAAACAGAATTATATTTGTGAAAGATCTGTTCTTTTCAGTATTTCTCCATTAAAATTTCCCAGGTTCTGCTAAAATTCAATGTGATTAACGAAAGGAAACTTGTGAAGAAAGATGCATAGCTTGCTATATTAAAAAAAATTGTGCTTTGAGTTGGATTTATAAGAGCATCAAACATGTTGTGATCTAAAGGATTTGAGTTGTGTTTACTGAGGACTAATGGTTAGAAAAGCTCATCACATTTTAACATGCATCTCACATGCTAGCTTTGTGATGTTATTTAGGAAACAGCTGACATGCCACTTATTCATGATATCATATAATGTATTACATTTTTGTGAGTTAAAACTTTTCTTATTTTGCTGTAATTGCAAACCTAGGCCAGACTTGAACCACAATGTTGAACTGTAGAGTAGAAAAATGATTTATTTAAATACTAGACAAACTCACAAACCGAAAGAGAGAGAGCAAAATAGCCCAAAATTTTGGGAAAAATGGCAGCTGCCCCACTCTCTATTCGTGTGTTTTTCATGCCACCAAAGTTCTGATCTCCAGCATCCCTCAGCGAAGTTTGTCAGATGTAATTTTTTTTTTTTTGTTACTTTCTTTTTAACCCTTAACTTTTAGGAGTGATGATATCTGTACCCATATTCACTATAAAGTTGATTTCTTTCTTAAGTGTATGCTTTGAATTTTCTGCTATGTTTATCAAGCGATCTTGAACTGTCTACATTACGTGCTAGACCTGCTGTGGATGTATCCTTAAATTCTATGTTGATAATGGTCCTATATTCCTTATATTCCCTGTTTCCACTTTCCTGTGCCAGCATATTTCTTAGAAAATAAAATCTCTGATTCGTTTGCTTTCTGCAGGACTATACCAAGTATGAGAAAAACATTGAAGGCTTAAACATTACTGATGAAATGTTGAGCCCCAACTCAGTCACCAGGCAACTTAGCGACCAAATTTCTCTTGCAAAAGCTTTTGTTGTGATTGCAAAAGAAAGTAATAATCTGCAGTTTGCTTGGGAATTAAGTGCCCAAATACGCAATTCCCAGGTCCTCCTTTCAAACGCTGCAACAAGGCGAGCTCCTTTAACAACCAGAGAATCAGAAACTGCAATCCGTGACATGGCACTTTTGCTCTTCCAAGCTCAGCAATTTCATTATGATAGTGCAACTATGATCATGAGACTGAAAGCCAAAATCCAAAATCTTGATGAACAAATGGGTACGGTGAGTGAGAAAAGCTCCAAGTATGGTCAAATAGCTGCTGAAGAAGTCCCAAAAGGACTTTACTGCCTTGGTATTCGGTTAACTACTGAATGGTTTGGAAATTCAAATCTACAGAGAAGAATGAATGAGAGAATGCAAATTGAGACAAAGCTTAGAGATAACATTCTCTATCATTTTTGTGTCTTCTCTGACAATATCCTTGCAACTTCAGTTGTTGTCAATTCAACTTCTTTAAATTCCAAGAATCCAGATATGGTTGTGTTTCATCTTGTAACTGATGAAATAAACTATGCTGCAATGAAGGCTTGGTTTGCCATGAACACTTTCCGAGGAGTTACTGTTGAGGTTCAGAAGTTTGAAGACTTCAAATGGCTAAATGCTTCTTATGTTCCAGTGCTTAAGCAACTCCAAGACTCTGAAACTCAAAGCTATTACTTTTCAGGCCATAATGATGATGGCCGAACTCCAATCAAGTTCCGGAACCCAAAATATCTATCTATGCTTAATCACCTCAGGTTTTATATTCCTGAAGTTTTTCCTGCATTGGAGAAGGTGGTATTTCTTGATGACGATGTAGTTGTTCAGAAGGATCTCTCTGGTCTATTTTCACTTGATTTAAACGGCAACGTTAATGGAGCAGTTGAGACATGCATGGAGAAATTTCACAGGTACCATAAATACCTGAACTATTCTCACCCTCTTATTAGAGAACATTTTGATCCTGATGCATGTGGTTGGGCGTTTGGAATGAACGTTTTCGATTTGGTCGAGTGGAGAAGGCGAAATGTTACTGAAATCTACCACTACTGGCAAGAAAAGAATGTGGATCGGACACTATGGAAACTTGGGACGCTACCACCTGGACTTTTGACTTTCTATGGGTTGACAGAGCCATTAGATCCCTCGTGGCATGTCTTGGGATTGGGGTACACAAATGTTGATCCTCACTTGATAGAGAAGGGGGCTGTGTTGCACTTCAATGGAAACTCCAAGCCATGGTTGAAAATTGGTATGGAAAAGTACAAGCCTCTTTGGGAAAAGTACGTAGATTATAGTCATCCTTTAATACAACAGTGCAATTTTCATTGATTTTGGACATGGAAGCTTCATATTTTTCCTGGTGCGTAACATCTAAATTTTTTAGATGAAGTATGCTTGCAAAATTTTTACGGGATCAAGCATGGCTGTTGGTTGTAGAAGTGCCTGTTGTAGTATAGAATGTCAACTTAAAATTAATTATTCAAAATTATTGCCTATTGCCCAACAAGTCATTTTAGTTCAGTATAGGCTAAGCTGTGAGCTCAAACCAACAGTCATCCACTGCAGTTCTACTTGTTCATCTTTCCCATTTTCGACACTTTCTGACAATGTGAGGTTTGCGTCTACTGAAATTTAGTAAAGATGTAGAGGCCTTTTGATTCTTTCTCATTTGTTCTCTCTAGTTTGTACTATCAACTTTCTTTTTCCTTTGTGGTTTCCTTCCAACACAGATGTATATGTTTCTCATTTCCTAACATTTTATTGCTCTATGATGAAATTTCTTCCTCTCCCTCTTCTTTCGCCCTCGACCCTGGTACTGCTTATCGACAATATCTTCCGATTCGTCCAAGTAGAATCCGAAGTATCCGCCTTATTGCATAGAATGCCCTCAGCAGGTTATCAACCCACCCTTAGTGCCTGAATAGATTCTTTACAAGAAAGAATTATTTCTACCAAAGAAGGATTCATAACTTCCATTCAAGCAGTTTATGTAACCGGTGGCCAATTTAACTGACTCTGCCCCTGCCACGGCATATGCGTCAAAAGAATTAGCATCTAAAGGTATCTATCCAGCAATCGACCCTTTAGATTCAGCATCAAGCACATCAAGCATGCTCCAACCTCAGATCGTCGGCAAGTAACATTTTGAAACTGCGCAAAGAGTTGAGAGTATATAAATGCTCTATCAGGTCAGAATTTTAGACCATGAAGGCTTTAGCTAAGCGGTATCTAGCACTCCCCATCGAGGGAAATCTCGAGTTTGAGTGCATTAAAAATGCTCACTCGTGAAACAGATAAGTGGGCTGGGATGAGAATTGGTCTTTAGATCATTCGGCCTTCTGTTTAAACTTAAAAAGCTGAAGGAAAATAAAAATAAAAAATCAATATCTTGACATGGAATTGAGCTTGATGAAAGGCACAGGCTCATTGTCTTGCAGAACAATGGTCTTTTACGATACTTCCACTAGGTGCCAATTCTTTCAACACCCCATTCATGCATCCAAATGATCAACCAAAGGTCTTGATAATGGCAATAAGTAACTTTGATTCGTTATTTCACAAAGCATAGAGCTTTACCTTCTCAGTCACTGTTGCCAAATGTCAAGTCGACAAATCCTGAAGTATATAAAAAACATCCCCTCAACCACGTGGCAGAAGCCCAAGTAGGCCACTTGGAAACACCAAAATGCCGGCGAGCAATAAGCTAACACGAACAACAACACTACTTCACTTTTGTCTCCTGCCTCCTGAGGTCTCTCAGGAAGTCCAACAGAACCATTACTTTTCCAACATTACCCTGCCTAAACGAGAAGTGAGGACTGAGTCAAGTAGATCCTGACAGTACTTTCGACCTGATATAAATCCAACGAAAATCCCATTGATCAGCCGGCCATGCATATCTACATTGCCGCCACTTTCAAAAATGTTTGTTTTTCCTCTCATCCATTTTCAAAGCAAAACAAACATCCCTCAAATCTCTCCATTATTAGAATCCTTTCTTTCTCTCTTGTTCTCTCTCTCTCACACACAAAGAAACAATGAAGAGCAGTGAAAATGAACCGTTTCTGCTCTCATCAGATCAATCTCTCAAGCCAAGAAGACAAAAGTCTCGGGAAGTAAGCTCTAGGTTTCTATCTTCACATGACAATGGAACCCCATCTCCAAACCAAGCTTCCTCATCACCACTTCGCCAAAAAAACCCCTCCGACGTCGGTCGAAAGCATCGGAGTCTTGATGATCCCGGATTCATTCGAGGCCTTTGGCCTTCATCTTCACCTTCACAATCATCAAACAACCAAAACAATCAAGGTACTCTAGCAGATCATCTTGGGAATGCAAGACTGAAAGATTTGTTAGACCACAAGAAAGATGAAAAAAACACAAAGAGTAACAGTGTGTTTTCACTTAGTAGGCAAAGGAGTACTGGTACTGTGTCTGGTAGGTTTGAAAATGTTGAAGAGAAAGAGAGCACAAAGGAAAATCACAGACCAATTCTTGGAGGATCTATGAGATATGCAGGAAGGTTTCACTTTCCAGGAAAATCTTCATCATCGTCGTCATCATCCTCCTCGAATTCCTTGTCTAATAACAATCCTGTTTTTGTTCCTGGAAGATTATCTGTTGATGAAAATGCACTAAACAAAAATTCGAAAGGAGTTGGTGCATCTAGGCGAATTTCAGATTTATTTAAGGATAATCTTGAGTCAGAAACATCTGAGTGCAGTGGCTATGATCTTTCTTCTCCAACTTTAGGTAGAAGTTCTAGGAAATCTGGAATGGAGGTTTCTTCTAAGTATATGAATGATATACCAACAAAGTCTCGGAGATGGACAACAGATACCAATGCTCAAACTGCAGTATCATTAGAATCTTCTCCGAAAATGAAGAAACTTACAATGAAAAATGTGATGAAGAGGGCTAATTCACTTACGGGGTATGGAAGTGCCACATCCCAGTGGGCCTTGTCGCCAGGCCGATCAGGTTCGCCACCAATGTCGGTGGAAAGCAAGGAAAAACTGATGTCCTTCTCAAATTTGAAACCGCCATCAACTCCGTCGAGGACTACAGGTGTTGAGAAATTGCTGAACATGGGTCTGGACTTGTTTAAGGGTAAGAAATCTGTGCCTTCTAGCTCCTTGCTCTCTGGGTCTGGGAATGTTGAGAACATTCATCAGCTAAGAATGCTTCATAATCGGATGATGCAATGGCGCTATGCAAATGTTAGGGCTGATGCTGTGAATGTGAACATAAATAAGCAAGTGAAGGTATGCATCTTCAACTTTGCTAATCAATTTAATGTTCATTGAATGGCTTTATGTCCACTTTTTTATCTGATCTAGAAACTGTGCTCAGTTAAGAAAGATTAAAACCGAATATGCTCACAATTGTCAGGGTTCTAGAATCTAGCCTATCAACTATAGCAAAGTTCCTTGGTAGTAGTCGAAGTCTAAATAAAATTCTTCTCATGGTTTTTCAGAACAATCTGTTATATGCTTTGGATAGTCTTTCAAAGCTTCGACATTCGGTGGTACAAAGGAAATTAAAGCTTCAGAAGGAAAAGCTCGAGATGAAGCTGGACTTTGTTCTTCATTCTCAAGTCAGTAACAAATCTTTCTGCATGACAAATTATGAATAATGCCCATGTAGAAACATCATTTGTTATGTAATATAAGGATAGAGCATACAAATTCATGTATTCGTTTCGGCCAACTTGTGTAGATCAAATTGTTGGAAACTTGGGGAGACATGGAAAGGCAGCACTTGTCTTCAGTTTCAAAGACCAAAGAGTGCTTACATTCTGTTGTGTGCAGAGTGCCCCTCATTGAAGGTGCAGAGGTAATCCCAGAAAAGAAGAGGCAAAAAGAAGCCTGCTTTTAGCAGATAATGTTTAACTATTTTGTGGCTAATCAAGCAATAAGTAATTTTACTATCAAATCCTAAATTACAGGTTGATCCACAATCGGCTTCTATCGCGCTTCGTCATGCATCAGACCTCTCGGCTTCCATCAAGTCAGCATTATCTACATTTTCACCCTCAGTAAGCAGAAACTGCTAAAACCTATCATACGATGTCAGTGCTCGATGCCTCCTGTTTATGTCGTCTGAACTAACCTTGAAGTTCTTTCTTATCAGGCTGAGCAGGCTGTTACACTACTCTCACAATTAGCAGAAGTAGTTGCACAAGAGAAATTGCTAATAGAAGAATGCCTAGAACTTCTTCAGACAGTATCCGTACTCCAGGTAGAAATTTGAACACTTTGCGATCGTTATGATCTCAGTAAACGCAAAGCTGATATCTTAGTTTCAGAAAAATTTATAACTAACATGTCAAGATTACGAAGGACTTTTTTCTAGCCTAATAACTTGCTGATATATTGAAATTATGGTTCTTCGAGTCTTGATTGGAAGTTCTTGACACTTGCAATTTTGTTGGATCATGTTCACAGATTCAGGAGAAAAGTTTGAAGTGCTATATAATTCAGTTCAATTTGCAGCAACAACAACTGCAGTTGCAGCAGCAGCAGGAAGAACGACAATCACAACAACAACAAACCTCTCAATGATTTCTCTATTTTATTTGATGGAGAAAGTATAGTTCTTAGGAAGGATTACTGGATATTCAAGGAGAAATTTTAGTAGGTATTTGAAAATGAGAGTGATGACTGAACAGGACATGATCATAATGTAAAGTAGATGTGATTGTAGCCACTTGAATTAGCTAAAGTAGAAGTTCAATGGTCAACTTATGTTCTCTTTACCCTGACATGAGTTGTGCAATTTTTCACTCAATTTTTCTTTAACCATCATTGCTTCACATTTTATATGTATATCAACATAGTTTTAAATCACAAACATAATTTTAAAAACAATTACAATCACGATTATGAATCACGATAATAAAAAATAATTATTGTGACGTCCGATATCGTAAATTAATCATTATTAATAAATTTATTCTAATTTATATATTTTTAATAATTTTACTAATTAAATAGAATAATATTTTTAATAGGTTAATATTATAAAAAACCAATTGTTGAATTTATTACAAAAAAAATTAATAATACTTTTAATATTATATAAATAATAATAAAATACAAAGAATTATTTTTTTTAATATAACAATTGTTATTCACTTAATAATGACAAATAACAGTATAATACATTAGTATATTGTTATTCACTAAACAATAACAATGTTATATAATGAAATTGCGACATTATATAACGAGAATATTAAATAATATTGTTATTTATGTGAAACATTATTATGCTATTTATTACCAATGCAACTTGAATGGCTTACTGTTGAAGTTAGAGAACGACATGCAGTTTTCAAATCCTAATGACAAGCATACATAATTGACTTGTCTTTCCGCTCCGTGTTTGACCAAAAATGAAGATATACGGCGTCGTTTATCCACCCTCCCACTCATAAGCAGAAGTTTCCAATCTTCCGCTCTCATTCCGTTTCTCCATTCTTCTTTCGCTCTCGATCGCTCCAAAGAAAAGAAAGCAATGGCCACATTATTGGCGGCGGCGGCAGCTCGACAAGCCGCTACTCTCTCTCGAATCTCCTCTCCCAAGACACCAGCTCAAGCCGCCACTCTAATCCACCGCCGCGGCCTCGCCGGCGCTGCAGGTAAATCCATCCCACAAAACACATTCAGATACACATACCTAACATATATTTACACGTATAAATGTACGTATACACATTTATGCTTACGTATGTGTTCGTGCTGTCGATTTGTATTATCCCTACCGTGGATCAGAAACTGATAAATTTTTTAGCTTAGTCGTTGAGAGTTTGAGACAAAATCATCTGCATTTGAGCTTAATCAATTCTTGAAATTGGGGTTAAGTTAAAATAGATTGCACTGTTTAATTGAAATTTCCAGACTTTATTACTCAATAATCTTTGAATAAATGATGAAGTTTTGCTCGGCGATTGTAATTTTTTTTTTTTTTATAATTGCAGACCACCATGGGCCACCGAGGATTAACTGCTGGCAAGATCCAATGAGCCCATCAAAGTGGAAGGAAGAGCATGTCAGTATTTTACATTTTATACTATTTACTGTATGCTTAATATTAGAAAGTCTTTATTTTTGTTAAAAAGCATGTTTCATTTTATTGTCGACGCATTTATTTCTTGAGAGTTCTGTGTTTTTTGTACTTTTTACCAGAGGGCATTGTGCATCTTTGGGGTTTTTGCGATTTGACTGCTAATTAGAGTATTGTCTTTTGGAGCAGTATATCAGCCGGTGTTGATTTAGATTTGAACCATTTCATAGTGATTTTATCCAGACAAGAAGTTTTTTTGTAGTTCTAAGGTTTTCATAGTGAATTCAAGTTTAATGAGTTTTATTTTAATTATCAAACAGCTGTTCGGTGTTTTATGGGAGCTTTCATGTCTGATTCCTTTTATATGAGTTTCTGATCTATGTCCGTGTCCTGTTAATGTTGTTAATATTGGTGGGAAATGGATATAATGGAAGGTGTGTGTGAAATGCAAACTGTGTTGACTGTTTGTTGGATGTTTGGTTTTGCAGTTTGTTATTGTCTCTTTAACTGGTTGGGGTTTAGCCATCTTTGGGGGATACAAGTTCGCCACAAGAGGCAAGGGCAAGAGTGAAGAGGTACTTTTGGATATATTTTTACTGTTACAACCTTATGCTTTACTGTTATTTCCAGCTTTGTCATTAAAAAATGCGAAATTTCACATTTTTCTCATTGGAATGATGTGTCTCTGCTCCATTTACCCCACTGTTTAGCACATGCTACCTCTGCCCTGCTTTGTTTGTTTCATCCTTCTACAATTTTTATTTTTTTCCCTAAATGAAGTACATATCAAAATATAATTTTCTGAATTTATCTTCAATCATTATGATATTTAATGACCATAAAATACGTAGGTTTGTACATTTTCCAAGCTAGAGTTATTTTCTTTAATATGTACATTGGACAAAGTAATGAATGACTTCTTCTTTAATAGCTGGAAATCCAATAGTAGACAAATAAAATAGGACCAATGTTGCCAAAGTTGCAAATTGCCTTAAGGTGGTAAGGCAACTTGCTTGATAAGACAACTTTCTGCAATGAAGAGAAGTGAAATTGAAAAACAAAAAAGGGGCTATAAAAACGTAGTACAGAAACATGACTGTTTGGAATTGAAAATAAAAAATTCAAGATAAAATTTTGGCAGTTTAATAACTTAGAAAGTTAAAATGGAGAGATAAAAGAAAATGAGAGAGAGAGGGGGAGAGGCACTAATTAGAAGAGAGATGAAAGAATTGCGCAACAGATTATCAAAATTATCTAAATACCTTTATTCTAACTGTTGATGCAGCAGTAGGTGGTCTATTAGGTCTTTGATTCAGTGGATGTATATGTGTTGTCTTTTCAACAACTTTAAAAAATATCCTCTAAGACAGCTATTAACTAAAGGGTAGTATTATGAGATCATTGCAAAATAGTTTAAAACAGAAAAATACTAGAAGATTCCTAGGCAACACCTCAAGTGCATAGTGCATAGTGCATAGTTTTAAGTGCCTAGGTAAACACTTTCAAGTCGCCAAGGCATCTGTCTTTCCTCATCTAGGTTGCCTAGGCAAGTACCTTAGCATCTTTTACAACTTTGAATTTCATAGAGGAAGCTTAAAGTTCCACCATGATCAATGTCTACCTCTCATCTTCTTTCGCCATTTCTTCATTTTTCCTTCCTCTGAAGTCTTTTTTTTTTTTTTTTTTTTTGTAGTGTTACTTACCAGCAAAAGCTTCCTCTATATTATGCCAAACAATTTGGTTATGTGACAATGACTTGCGAAGAGTAGTGTGTAGATTCTTTGACTCTTTAAGAATTTTTATTTGCTTGGACCTTATATATAATGATTGAATATAAATAGGCAATAATCATATTGAGTATGGCTACACCAAACACGATCACTACATCAATTATCTTAAGAGGAAATCTGTCTATTAGGAGAAAGGCTGTACCTAAGTATAATGTATAATATGGAGTAGTTGGAAGATTAAAGCTTGAGGCTAACTATTTTGTGTTCTATGGGGATAGCGAGGCTTATAGATGGAATGCAATCTAGGAAAACATAGTTGTTACAATTATTGGTGATCCTCTCAGTTGCTTTCCTTTTATTCTGACATTTTATTTATGATTACAGAAAGCAGTAGAAGCAGCACACTGAGGCTTGAGGCATGTGATCGACCCATGACATTTTTGGTAATAATTGTGTTTGGCTGTACTTCACATGTCTTGGGATCAAGTTTTCTTGTTCGCAGATGATTCTGCTAGTATTGTGAATGGTGGATGATTAAACTTGGAAGTTAAATTGCTCATTTAGGGAAGAAAATAAGCCCTTTACATTGGCATGGCCTTTTTGTTGCCACTCTAATGCTTTGATGTTTAACCTTCTATATTCTGATAATCCGATACTATCTTCCCCAAGTCCAAACTCATTTAATGGATTTCCACAAATTACAGGTTTACGTTGTGTCCTTTTTTTATCTTTTTCCTTTTTACATTAAACTTAAACTATTCTTGCTTACAAGGATAAACAAAATGCTAAGCAAACCTCACTCTTCGAAGAATTAAATAGTCATCTTGCTAGCAGAAAATTGTATATCTGTCTAATCAATGACAGGTTACTCGAATGGACTAAGTGGCAGCTTTTGCAAACCATAGAAACAATGGCATTTGTTTTCTTATCCATTCGGGGGGTGTTTTCGATTGAAATTGCTTTCTATATTGACAATCAACGTTGTTTCAGCATTGTAATTTGCACCCCTTTAAGGGTTAGTATTCGTCAAGTTAAGGGGACATATTTTGTGGAGGATGATTGCACTAGATGGATTCCAATGGCAAAATTGTGCCCATCATGTCTCTCTGAGACTGGAACGATTCCTGATTGGTCTGGAAATGCATCATTTTATTTATACGGCCCAACCAACACTTGTGGAGAAAGTAATTGAAGTAGAGACAAATGGGAAAAATTAATCTTGGTCTAGAGATATTATTATTATTATTTGGATAAAATGCTTGAGTTATTTGAGAAATGGTAATGAAAGGGGTTTAAAATCCCGACCAATCAACAGGAGGGGCAAAGGACATTTTTCCGATAAAGATTTGGTAAAAAAAAAAAGACAACAGAAAGCTTTTAGACGTTTTTCCAGCACAAGTTCATTCTACCAGTTGGGTTTTGATCTCAAGCTTACTCTGATAGGCAGTTCTGTTCTGTTAACCAACAGTCTCCTGCAAATTTATTTGCCATGTCTATTTGGATTTGAGATGATAATTCCATTATATCTCTACTTAGTTTAAAATACTAAGCAAACTCACTTGATAACTGTCCAAACGCTCGTGCAGAAAGATACCTTTACAACAAGCAAGAGTACTAAATGCTGTCGTTGATCAGCTAGAACTCAGACTCGTCTGTTTCCTCTCTGTACTCTTCTTTATCTTCTTCTAAATCAGAAACCGAGTCCTTGTAAAAATCTCCAGCACCTGCATCTGTTTCATGTTCTGTATTTGAATCCTCCATTTCTTCTTCCCTTTCGTTTTTGGTGATAAGTTTTGCTTGTTCATCGCTGTTTCCTTTGTTGCTCATGTTGCTGCTGTTTCTGCTTTCTTGCGTGCTACGGTCTTCTTGTTGATCTTCATGTTGTTGGCCTTCATCGAGGCTCTGTTTCCTGTCATTGCTTCTGATGTTACTGAGCTGGCCATCAAGTCTTCCATTTGTCAGCACTTTGCTGTCATGAGCTATCCGGAGCCTTTTCGATGTCCCATGGACTTCACTCGTCTGGTGATTTGTACGATCTTTCCCAAGTTCGTTTTCCAGATCTTTAGAGTCTTCAGGGTTTTGATGCTCCATTGATGTAGCATCAGAAGAATCCACATTAGACCCACTTCCCTCTTCTCTGTTTATCAATATAATACCTTGATTGTCACTAGAAAACTTTCTATTTCTCAACTTCTCAACCCCATTGTTTTCATGACTGTTCTCCAGCAGCCTATTTGTGGCAACCGTTGTCCCTCTCTTTCCTCTTACTGTGCTAGCATGTTGGTATTTCTCTTTCCCCTTGCTTCTGGATCTGTCCGCCATTTCCAACTTAGCACCACCCCTAAAAGTTCCTTGTCGATCTTCTGCCGCCTGAACATTTTCAAGCCCCAGTTGCCTGTCATGGGTAACTTCTTCTTCACTATCCATCGATTTCTCATCAATATCTTCATCTGCAGTTTTTGATAATCTTCCAGCTCTAGTGACAATTGTCTCAGTAGCATTTGAATCATTGTTTTCCTCGCCTGCACCAGAAGCACCCTTCTCTTGAGAACTTTCAATTCTGTACCCTTGGTCATTATCGATTCCAACGGTACTTCCGTTTCTGGAACCTTCAAGTGTCTGCGACTGCTCCTCTCCGAACACTTCTTTCCTGTCAGTAATGCCTACCCTACTTTCACTTGCATTTTCAAATCTGGCAGCATCAGCACCTTCTTCTGTATTGGTGGATGTAGTGTTACCTCCATTGTCCCTTGTTGAATTCAAACCATTACTTCCATATACAGATTCATGCAATTGAACAACCTCTTCATTACTCTTCCCTACCTCCACCTTATCCTTGTTTACCGTACTCGAGGTCACAGTCAAGTTTAAGGGTGGGCTTGATGGGTCATCTGTGCTCACTGACCTTATCTTTTGGGGGCATTCATGAAGACGGTGCTTCAGATCCTCGATTTCAACTTCCTTTTGTTTCAGACTTTCTCTAAGAGCTACCATTTGAAGAGTTTCTTTCTCTGCATCTTTGTTCATCTCTCCTAGCATTTTGATCTCACTTTGCTTCTCCTCGAGTACAGACTCCATAATCTTTTGTTCATCCTTTATGGAACCAATCGTGGACTGCATCTCCACAACCCTCCTGTCAAGCTCCATCTTTTGGGTCCTCAATGAGTATATCTTCGCTTTCATCTCTTCGGTCTTCCTTTTCATTTCTTTGCTGCGTTCTCTTTCCTTCTGCATAAGAAAAGAAGAGATGTAATCAGTGTTAGTATTAGAAATCTATAAAGAACTAAACATCACAATCTAGATTATACACCGCAGTAAGAAGTTCAGTTTCTCCCTTTCCGAGTGCTGTCATGTGTGCATGCTTGTTTTTACGCGTAATCATGGTGCACTAGCTTTTAGATTGGTGTAAGATGGGTTTCAGCTTGAGAATGGAAGAAGTGTCGTTGAGGGAAAAGTGAAGTGAAGCCGGAGGTTATATTTAGGGCAATTCAGTTCTGTATTCAGTCATCTTGTTAGCATAGGGAGTCGGTAAAATCGAAAACCGATCATGCTCACAGAACGGCAGCTGATGCATTAGTTTTCTTACTCTTCCACATTTCAGGAGTTGTTTAAGGGTCCAAATCCAATTACTGCCAAAAAACTGGGGAGTTTTTGTTTCCTTCATTCTCTTGCTGCAACGGACATAATAGTTTGTCATGTGCATACATGTGGTCTTAATTGCAAGAGACTTGCCAGTTGCGTCGAGTCGCCGATTAGGAGCTGAAACTATGGCAACAATTTGCCAAGAGGGAGGACAAAAGAAGGGGAAGCCACTCTTGAGCCATGTGCTTTACACAATATATTAAGGAAATCTAATATCATATTACATGGGAATTGTGCTTAATCAAACACAACATTAGTTTAGTCCAGTTAGACCCTGTACCAGAAGATTTTGATATATTCAACAAACATCTCCATCCAAGCGGTCCTGTGAAATGTCGTCACACTTGAGACTTTCACCTATCCAAATGACTTTGCTCCATTAATACATTGAGAATCTGGCCAACGACATTGGTCATTCGCATTTTCTGGCAATTTTACCAAATCACAGAGTTTCTTTGGACTTCGGGTTATTATGAGATCATGCATCAGTCGTAAACAGGCAATTTGCCTCTAGAAAGCTGAACTTTATAGGCAGAAAATGATCATTTAGAGGTGAATTTTGCAACCTTTGCAAAGGACTTTTTTGGCTGTATTTGTGGGCGTCGTTTTGGGATCTGCTATAAATTAATGAGTCAATGTCTTTTAGGATCATTCACCACCTACTGGCTTCTAGATATGGCAAAATGAAAGCTGTGTTCAACCTAATCCACATGTTATCATAAGAACATTGAAAAAAGTAATTAACCACATCAAAGGTCCCAAAAATGGTGGGTTTTCCATACCAGAAATCTGCATGCCTAAATCACAACCAAAATGCTGAAGAACTTTACTTAACTACTGAATTGAAGTGACAGCCCATCTTTGCACCAAAAATGGTGAAAAAATGCCATGAAATAACGCAAGATGCTTTCATAGTTGTCTAGAAAACTGCAGAAAGACACGTCAAAAGCAACATGCAGGCATGAAAGATGGAGGAAGAGGAAGAAAGGGACCTGCAAGAGAAACTTAAAGGAGATGAGCTCGTTGTCCTTCTCTTTGACAAGGAGGTGGAAGATGCGTCTCTCTCTGAGCTTGTGTAACACCATAACACCAAGCAAAGCAGCTGCAAATGCTAAAAGTAACATCAACCCATATGGCTTCCCTCTATTTCCGTTACCATTTCCTTTGTGGGATCCCCCTATAGCCATGATCTCTCCAGCTCTTGAAGTTGGAGTAAGAGTAGAAGAAGAAATGGATCTTTCTCCTACTTTTTCTTCTTTAGCAAGGTTTATAGTATGTTATTCTTACAAGAGCTTGCTTGTCATGGAAAAAGAGCCATGCATCTACCTCTCTCTCTCTCTCTCTCTCCTACGTAAGAGCGGAGTTAACAAGGTTGGAGAAGCATGGGAACCGTTTCCAGGCGCTGATTCTGGAGCCCTTTTTCGTGGCTAAGTGTCTATAAATATTTCAAGTTTCCATGCTATCTACTGATTTTACCACAAGGCCCATTTTGCCTGTACAACTATGAACTTCAATTGACAACAAATTTTTCGATCTGTGATCATGGTTGGAAATTAATCTATAAGTACCAATTTGTCCACATTAAAAGCTGTTTGGAGTTTTAGACATAGAATAATCGGTAATATATTACCTTGAATTTTTTATTAATAGAAAAAAGTTATTAATCTTTTTTATTTGCGTCTCGATTTTTTTCTACAATTTAAATTTTTTTACTCTGTTAATCTATTTCATCATATATGAGAGACACGTAAATCATTAAAATAACAATATATATTCTAATTAAGATAATTATTATTGTTTCACTATTTAAAAAAAAATTTAAGATATATATCGTTATTTTAATAATTCATACGTGTTTAATATCATTTAAAATGATCGATAAAAAAACTTAATTATGGATAAAAAAAATTATGGTAGCTATAAAATATGTATGTCTATTGAGATGGTAGAAATGAAATTTCTCAAAAACGGTCAGATCAAAGCGAACCTGAAAAGAAACAAAAAAGTGGGTGAAAGAGCCATCTTGGAAAAATTAATCTTTGTGAATAACATAAGCTAAACGGCAAAACGAGAGAGAGAGAGAGAGAGAGAGAGAGAGAGAGGTTTCTTTCTGTCTTTATCTTCTGTTTCAAGTACAAAAACTTCAACTTGGAATATAGAGAAAGGAAGAAATCTCATAAAATCAAACTTAGCTATCAGAGGAGAAATGAAAATAATGATTATTTTGACGAAACAATGGGGTGAAATTCATCTCATATACTTTTACTATCCAATATTTTTATTTTTATTTATTTATTCAGATACGATACAAAATAAATCATATACTATTAAACATTGAAACAAATTAATTTTTTTATTTATTTTTATTAATCGTATGTCATTATGCCATTAAACAAATATTGAATGAAAATGATGATTTGTTCTAAAATTCAGTGATATAAAGTTTATTTTGTACAGTATTTAAATAAATGAGTTAAAATAAACAATACAAAATAATACAAGAACGTATAATAAATTTGATTCGGAAACAATATAATTCGAATCACATCCTTATCAGAACTCGCATGGTTATGATACCTTACAAATATTAGATTTTACAAATTTATTTAAATCATATAATAAATTTTGTTGTCTAGTATCGTCTAAAATTGATCAACGAAATTAAAAAATTTAATTGTAGATTAAAAAAAAAAGTTCAAGATTCAAATTAAAAATTGTTTTCTTGTTAAACAAAAATTCAAGATGCTTTATAACAAATTAGCATTAAACATATTATATTGGCCGAAAGAATTTGTTTGGCGTAAAAATTTGGTACTTATATATACTTATATCCAGATTTAACTACAAGTTTGTAAATGGAGATCTAATAGTACAAAAAAAAAAAAAAAAAAAGATAAGGATACATTTGAAATTTAATGAAGAAAAAAAAGGATAAAGAGAAAGCAATTTCAAGGAATAAATTAGAGAATTTAAAAAATGTTTAGGAGTCATGGAAAATTAAGGGGTAGGTAGTTCTTCTGCCCCTTGGTCAAATTAAAAAACTCGAGTCAGAGAAATTATATACATGCTAAAGGATTAATTTTTCCAAGTGAAAATAAAATTACACTGAAGAAAATAATGTATGTCACAAGTAATCACACATGAGATTACAGCATGATCGTGAACTTGCTTGAAATTTAATCAAAGAAAGTTTAATGGTAAACTTACTTGGAATTTAATCAAAGAAATTTTAATTTCCAACATGCGTTTTTTGACTAATATTTTTTATTATGAGACTTAATGAATATCTCTTTACCAGATTTGAGAGGTTAATTATTATGTGTGTAATTAAATATATTAGACCATTAGATTAATGTAATTGGATATGTGTTTTTTATATTTTCTATTTATCAAACGAGTAATATTTTGAGGGAAATAACAAGAGAATTAATAATATAAATAAATATAATCTTGATATTTCTATAATCGACCCAAGCGTAAGCATATTTCCGTATTGATTTAACTTTTTAAATTTAGTTTTAGTTTTAATTAACGTAAAAATTAATTCGAAGATATTTCATTACTCTATATATATATATATTATCTTGATTTTTTTTCATTGTTTTTTATTATCGGCAGTATAACCTTAATTGATATCAAGATAATATCCTATAAAAAGGAAAGGACAATATAATTTTCAAAAGTTTTTGGTCAACTTCTGCATTCACATCCATGGAATATTTTATGCAGATGGCGGTTTCTGGTCAAACGGGCTTATGTCATTCACAGTTCAGAATGAAGAACTGTGTGATTAACTGAAAAAAATATTAGATTATTATAAAGCAATTTAAATATATATCAAAGAAAAGCTAGCTAGAGCAGTAGAGCCCAGAAATGAAAATATTTTATAAATATTTATAAAACATTAGTATTCAAAAAATCCTTCAAAAAATAAAATAATAAAGTGCGGAAAAGCTCACGAATAAAAATATTTGTAAATAATATAATAATGGTGATTAAAAGCTTACAAACAGTGTTAGTAATCTACCCTGACCAGTGACAGATCTAAAAAAATTTCTTAATGGATTCAGTATTTGTAATGCATAAATAAATAAATAAGGATTTAGTGATAAGAATATCAAAATATGGAGACTGTTTTAATCTACAAAGTTCTATATTTACTCAAATATTATTTTTAATGTTAATAGTAATTTAAAATTTTATATTGAAAATAATAAAACAAACAATATGGGACAAAATTTTCTATTGAGAAATAAATCATAGAAAAAATATATGAAAAAGAAAATCATATAAACAAAAACTAATTGTATGCAAACTATAAACTGTAGAAGAGTAAATTAATGGAATAAAAAGATAAATGCACGAAAATCTGTAAAATTAAAAAAAAAAAAATGGAGATACACTGGATCAAATAAAATTCTAATAGATCCATATAACGTAATAAAGGATTTAAAATTCGGCTAATGCAAATTTTTCAAGACGAAAACAAATAAAAAAGAGGATTTTTTGTGATGGAATTTTAAATTTTATAGGTATGTTGCGTTAGTATGTGAGAAAAATAAAGCAATTATATATATATATATATATATATATAGAATACTGAAAATAAGGGTGATGAGAATAAATTTTAAAGGGAATATACCTAAATGACCCCACTTGCTTGAGTTTACAATAATTGGGGTGGGGTCAATTTAGTAAAAAAAAATTAATATATCACAAAATAATCCATATATTTGAGTTTTTTCTTCTAAATTTTGTGGGGTCAATTGATCCCTCTCATAATTCGGTGGATCCATCATCTAACTCTCGTTGATTGACCGTTAAACTAACAAATATAATAAATTCAAAATAACAATATAAGCACGAACATCAAGAAAAGAAATATATAAAAAATTCTTAATTTTTAAAATTGAAGCAATCTAGATGGAGTCTCTAGATTCAAATCATAAAATGATTTGAAAATGAGTCTTTAAATTGAATTTTAACCTAAAAAGTAATCTTAGAAGACCTTTGACGATATGTTATGTTATGAGCGTTTGAATAATTTTTTTTAATGATATAATTTGCATCAATAGGATATCTACATCAAAAGTGATGATATATTAATTGAACAGTACGTGTTTTCTTTTCAAATTATCTTTTTAAACTTTTATCTACTGATCTAATTTATAAATTCATCCATTCATTTATTCGTCTCACGTTATTTTTCCTATAAAACAAGTTATGTGTGATAAATTTGATAATATTTAATAAATAATAATATGAAAAAAAGGTCGTGATAAAATAATAAAGATGATAGTAGCAAAGAGATAATGATGATTATAACAATAATGTAGTAACATTCATGTAATATGATGTCGTTGTGAGGTAACGACAATAGTTAAACAAGACGGTGATAGTAACGAGTAACAAAATGTAGCAACTGCAACGGATTTAAAAAATTAATAGAATATTTAAAAAAAAAACTCATTATATATACTAAAATTATGAAATCTAAAATTCGAGTTTATTTTTTCATATAAAATTTTTAAAAATCCTAAAATTCTTTTATTTTAAAATAAAAATAAAACAGTACCGTATACTCTTTTTATCGACAACACTCAACTACCTATTTATGAAATCTCTTTTTTTTTTCCTTCACACAGTCTAATTGAAGTTTTAAACCCTTACCCGAATATTTTTTGACAAAACATCGGAAGGAATCAAGGTAGGCATAACCAAAAATCTCATTTTTCAAAAAAAAAAAAATTATATTTTTCATAACAATCAAGTCTCAATTTTTTTCTCATCAAAGCCACTAAATTTGTTAAATTATCTATTTATTTGGGTTTCAAAATGATTATGATAACCAACGATGTATAGTCTTTCCAATGATTATTTGATTATTTTAGGACAAATTGAACAAAATTCAATTTAATTTTTAACAGTCAACTGCAACGGATTTTTAACAAAAAAAAAAAAAAAAAAAACTAAAATCACTAGAAAATAGAGGATAGAAAATGTAGAGTTTTGAACACCGAGAATGAAAAGTGTAATGTCTCTCAAAACACACACACATATATATATAATACATAAAAACTATATAACAAATAATAATGTATATAATAATGTTGAATTCATGAATATATGAAGTTGTAAAATAAAAGGATACATGTCATGTTATTTGTATTTTTTTAACAATAAAATAAATTTGGATATCTAAATAAAATTTTCTTGATAATTACTATAAGAATATTAAAAGGATTGGTGATCATATTTTTTTCTTTAATTAAATTATTACTACGTATATCCCTTTTAATTTTTATATAAAATTAGATAATTTTTTAAATTTAGTAGTAATAATAATATCATAATTTTCTAATCAAAATTAAAAATTAAATTAGAACATTTTTATTTTTATTTAAAATTTATCATATAAAAAATGATCATCTATTATTATTGAAAAAAATATATATTGAAATAGGGTTCTATTGAATATGCAAGTATTTTAACTCATAAAAAAACTTAAAATAATATTCAAACTAGTTTCTTTCAACAAAAAAAAAATTACAAATTTTAATTGTCCGATCTTGTCCTCTACATATCTAAATTTAAATTTATTTTTTATTATTTGTTGTTGTATCTTCATATGTCTGATACGTATCAAGTCATATTTGACCAGTATTCGTATCCAACATGGATTTGAAGATATATTTAAAGAAGTTTTTTTCTAAATCCATACATCTTTAAATCTTTATTTCTTAACTAGGGTACTTTTAAACTTAATTCTTAAACAAATACACTTTTTTGATACATAAGATTTTTTCATCCACATTATTTTTTCCTTAATTACTGAAAAATAATTTCATCACATTAAATAGCTTCATCTTTATTTTTTGATATTTCATTAATTAAAAAAAGTAAAAATATTAAAACCTCTATTCTTAAAAAAAAAATATATATATATATATAGTTTTCATCTTTTTAGGTTTCGGGGCTATTGTAGGACAAATGGTGGCTGGCAGCTAGCCCCAAAACCTTTTTTTTGCCATCTTCTTTGTTCCTTTAAATTGTCGATGACTTTAGACTTGCCGCAAGGAATGCCATGGAAGCAGGTTCTAATGGAGTAGAAATCCATGGAGCACATGGCTACCTAATTGAGCTGTTCACAGAAGATCAAGTAAATGACCGAACAAATCAATACGGTGGATCTCTAAAGAATCATAGTCGATTTGCTTTGGAAATAGTTGAATCTATAAGCAACGAGATAGGAGCAGATAAAGTTGGAACAAGGCTATCTCTGTATGCAACCTCTATAGAAGCATGAGACTTAAATCCTAAAGCTTTAGAAGTTTACATGGTTGAGCCAAGAATGAGAATGCCTACAAAAAAATATGAATGCCACACAGTCTTCCACCTATAAGAAAGGCTTTCGATGGTACTTCATTGCTGCTAGGGGTTTCGACAAGGAAGATGGAAACAAAGTCGTTACAGAGAACTATGGAGATCTTGTAGCTTATTGTCATTGGTTCCTCGCTAATCCAGACTTGCCAAGGAGATTAGCCTCTTGCAATCTTGCTATCTATTAGACACTGGATTTGATTTTGAAATCCAATGCTTCTCTCTCCTCTCTCAATGTCTTTGTCTTTCCTCGTTGTCAATTTTTGCTTATATCTGCTTTATAGATTATTCACTTTTATAATTATTCATCTTTTTATCTTGGAGAAGATTATTGATTTGAACGCATTTGATTGAGCTCACATGTTATAGTTTCTTCGAACCTTACTTCTTTAAAACATTATCTCTTCTAGCAATTAAGGTTAATGACTAATATTATGTACTTTTTCATACTTGTACAAGGTACGGTTGGAATGTTTTAAAAAACTATTGGCTGCAGATTTATGATGGAATCATTATTTTGGACTTTCCACTTTGGTCTTTATACTTTCTAATTTTTCATATATTTCCAAATAAAAATACACTATTCCCTCCTTAATTTCTTATTTCTCACCTGGAAAAATTTTTATCCTCTCCTTATAGATATGTCTAGCCTATCCAGTGATATTATAAGAAGAATCTAAGCTAGCAATGACATTTGTGTATTGATTATCCTTGTGAAGAGAATGGTGAATCATAATCTGATCTCCATCCATAAAAAAGAGACAGATTTTTTTATATAATAGATAACCGAGGATGACATTTTGTTTGTAAAAATCATTAAATCAACAAGGAATTTCCATACAGTTTGTAGATACTATTAAAAAAAAAAAGTATTTTCAGTCCTTAACAAATAGAATAACTTGTCCAACCAATAAATTGTTGGTTGAGAGATAAGCCAACTTATCTCCAGAAAAAATTCTATCAATGGGCAAAGTTTCTATCAATGAGCAAAGTTTGAATTCTGAAATTGCACTTATTTAAAGTGATTAAATCTTATCATTTCTATTTTAAACAATTTTTTACATATATCGAGACCCTATACAATTTGAATTTTTTTATTGAAACCCTAAGTTTTTTTGTCAAATTTAAGAGTTCTACTCTTATGTTGTTGTTATTGTTTCGGACCCTAATATGCCACGTAAACACACGTGGCAAGCTCTAACCAATGACAACTTGTCATGTGTCATGGTAGACCCAAATTAGATAATTGAATTGGTGATGTGACAATCCGTCATTGGCTAGAGCTTGTTACATATGTTTACATGGTAAGTCTGTCATTGGCTAGGTTCTTAAACAACAACAATATAAACATATAACTCTTAAATTGAATAGAAAAAAAAAACTAGGGTCTTAATAAAAAAAAATCGAATTATATAGAGTTTCAATATGTATAGAATCCTATTTTAAAGAAAATTAGTCTTATCTCTAATGTAAAACGAAGATATATGAGAAAAATAAAATAAAATAATTTGCCCTCATCAATTATACAATCTACATTGTGGAAAAAAAACATTTTTTATAAGATAATATAACAAATACATGTATTCTCATTTAGGTTGTGCATCCAAAACATGTTCAAATGCATGATGTCCATTATCTCTCGATTTAGATTGCATAATTATAACAACTAAAAAAGTCCTCTACATTTACGAAAACATTACAAAGAAAACCTTTTTTTTTTTACCAAATATGCCCTTAATTACTATTTTTTAAAATATTTAAATTAAAAAATTTTAAAATAGAGAAAGAATATATATATATAGAAGAAATTGGATATGATTATTTTTTAATACATGAACAATATTAATTTAAGTCGATATTGTTTTTATTTTTTTAGTATTCTCTCTAATTTTTAAAATAAATTTAATTCAACTATTTTTCCTCTCTAAATAGTAATTAGGGGTATTTTGAATATAATAAAGGATTTCTATCAAAGTTTCGATTTTCTGAATGGTTTATGTAATTTCATAATACCTCATAGGTCTATTGTAATTTACCTTTTTCTTTTTTTAATTTATTGGCTAAAGTAAAACATAACATACCTTCACATTTAGGTTGTGCATGAAAAACATGCCTAAATGTATAATGTCCATGATGCTCAATTTAGAGCCCATAATTTCAACAAATAAAAATGGTAATTAATTTTTCTGTTAAATTCATTTTTAAAAAATTACCCTCGTGTAATAAATGAGTTTATTTTTCTTAAACAAGTTGTTTTGAATTCAACTTGTCTATACGAAAAACTCTTTAGATAGTTGTGTCCGTCTTATGTATTTGACTAAACCGTGAGAAATTAATCTAAATCGGGATATCCTAAAGAACAAAAAATAATTGAGTTTATTTCCCAACCTATCGTATAAATTTGTTATATATATATATATTTCGTACCTATCATATAAATTTGTTATATATTCATTTGGATGCATAGAAGTTAATCAGCTAATAAAAACCAAAAAGTAAAAATTGAAAGTTGAAACCATTAATATTGGGCTCTAACTTAAAGCCCATTGCACAAATTTTGGACAAAAACCTTAAAAAACACAAATAAGAACCCATCTCTTACCAACACCACAAAATTACAAACCGCCATTAGTTTCCATAGAAGGAATCCTGAAGCTCTCTCTCACACTTCTCCACAGGTAAACTATTAACGATCAGCAACCTCTCTTCCTTCCCTGTTAACCAAACATAACCGAATTTTCTTTACTGAGTCAATAAAAAAAATCCAAAAAAAAAACCGTAAAAGACTACTTTTTAAATGAATTCTCAATCACAATCTCAATCAACCTCCGTTGAAGACATCTTCGATTCCTCACTGAATTTAGAGGAAACCCATTTCAAGGAAGGCTACAACGAAGGCTACAGTAACGGGTTAATGTCAGGCAAAGAAGAAGCAGAACAAACGGGCCTGAGAATGGGCTTTGAAATCGGTGAAGAACTTGGGTTTTACCGTGGCTGCGTTGATGTATGGAATTCTGTTATTCGGGTTGAACCGACCCGGTTCTCTACCCGGTTGAAAGAGTCCATTAAGAAGATGGAGGAGTTGATTGAGAAATACCCAGTTTTAGAACCGGAAGATGAGAGTGCGAATGAGATTATGGATAGTTTGAGATTGAAGTTTCGGGTTATAAGAGCGGGTTTGGGTGTGAAATTGGAGTATGATGGGTATCCGAAACCTAAGGAAATTGAGTTTTGATGGGGCAGTTTTGGGTTTTTCTGTAATGGGTTTTGGTGCCTTTGTTTTAGAAGTTTCGTAGTTTTTGTATTATACAGACGTTTTGTTAGATTTTTTAGCTTTTGGGTTAATTGAAGAAGAAATATTTGTTTTTTTAAAAAAAAATTTGATAATTTTTGGTGTATGGAAAATTTGGATCTTTAGATTTTATTTGATCTTATATGGCTAAGTATAAAGAAAGTTTTAGTGTAGTTGATTGTGTTTGACGTTTGAAGCTTCATAGATTCTCCATTGTTCAAAAAATAAGAATTGTTTGCTTAGTATTTGGATTTGCATGACTCTTTTCATTTAAAAATTTTGGTGATTTGGTATAGAACTCTGTGCTGCTATATATATGGAGCTTTTGTTGTCTTTAATTTAATTTATGATTATTGAATTTGGACAGCTTAGTTGGTTTCGGACCATTAGAATGTTGTATTCGGATATGATATGTCAAGAAGTATGTAATTCTAGTGTTGTTGATCTTATTCGATATTGAAGCTTTTTTAGCTTCTCCATTGTGAAGAATTTAAGCAATGTTCCCTTAATATTTGAATTTACAGAACTATTTTCATTTAAATATTGCTGCTTGAAAATTTTGCTTTTCTGATATGGGGTAACTGAGAGAAGTTGGGGAGTTTTGTGGTCCCTTGGAATTATAACCACAAAGTTTGTTGATAATGTCTATTTTTATCATTTAAATTTTATCTGCTTTCGCAGCTTGTAAAAGAGGCAGGAAGGAGGAGAATAATGTTGAAGTTGATGCTTGCTTGCTGTAAGATTTACATTTCTGAAAGCAGAAACAAGGCTGCGCTCGAGTCAATTGAAAGAGCTGCGAAGCTATTCCCTGAAGCACCTATTGTTAATAAGTTTGAAGATGTGACGTATAATAGAGTTGGTTACACCCTTGTCTCAAGTTTGGGTCCAAAACCATCTTCAGACTCGTGTGCTTTGAAGGGTGCTATGCTTGCTATGGTTAAAGCTGCTCTTGAAACTATTGATCTTGAGTTGCATTGTGGAAGTCATCCCCGGCTTGGTGTTGTTGATCACATTTGCTTTCACCCCTTGGCTCGTTCATCTCTGGACCAGGCAGCTGGGATTGCAAAGACTCTGGCAGTAGACGTTGGCTCTATTCTTCAAGGTTCGAGCCCTTTGAACTAATCTGTGATTTATGATAGTAAATTAATGAAGAAAACTTGTAAAAACAATGAGTTTGATTAATTAGCTTGATGACAATTCTAGATTCTGGCCTTCAAAAAGGGCACTTCCTCAAAACTGGTTTCCCTGCCTATAATGATACTTGAGGCAGCCTAAATAGCAGTAGCAGTAGATTGTATATATACCTTCTCTTTTAGTTTTAACTGGATATGGTTGGTTTTTCTTCTGGCTTTCAAAATTGTAGAATTATTGTGATGGTTTTCAATGGAAAGTAAAGTGATGCTGCAAATCCCCAACCCAATCGTTTGTGTTTGCTAAACAGCAGTTCAAAACTGTCATCCAATTACCAGCCGGCAGTAGCTTCTAGCACAGAACAGAACACATAATATATTTGCTTCTAGTACTTAATTTTTCCAGGAAATATTTGTTAAACGATGACATTATGTCCCTATCTCGAGAGAAAATGTGGTCTGCTCAGCATTTCAGTATCCATTGAAAATTAAACAAATGAAATGAGTTTGTTTGACATAGGATTCAAAGTGATGCAGTGGAAGCTATAATTGTTTTTGCTATTGGAGCCTTATTTTTGTTCAGAATAAAGGAGATATCAATAATGAATATTTATTACATAAGCTGTGCTGCGATTTTATCTGTTATGTTGCATTTTAAGGTACTTTCTAGTCTCCTTATTGGATCGAAGCTTTTTTTTTTTTTTTTCCCTACATTGCTAATGATCTAATATATAGTCTGCAGTCCCCACATTTCTATATGGAGCTGCCAGCAATGAAGGGAGGACCCTCGATTCAATCAGAAGAGAGCTGGGTTATTTCAAGCCAAATTCTGGAAACCAATGGGCAGGTGGGCCAAAATCAGAGTCCTTGCCACTGAAGCCAGATGAAGGTCCAGCTCAAGTGAATCAAGCGAAAGGTGTTCTTGTAATTGGAGCAACCAGGTGGGTTGATAACTACAATGTCCCTGTCTTCTCCACTGATATTGCCACTGTTCGTAAAATTGCGAAGCGTGTGAGTGGAAGAGGAGGTGGACTTCCTTCAGTTCAAGCAATGGCACTTGCTCATGGTGATGATGTTACTGAGGTTGCTTGTAACTTGTTGGAACCAAGTAATGTGGGAGGAGATAGAGTTCAGCAAGAAGTTGAGAGACTTGCAAAGGAAGAGGGTATGACTGTGGGGAAGGGGTATTTTACTGATTTCTCACAGGAAAAAATAATTGAAAGCTACTTGAAGTTTTGTCCCGTAATGTAAACGCAAGATGCAATATTGTAATAGAGAAGGTATTGTCCCTTCTGTCAAAATTACTTAAAAAATTCTATGATGAAAGGTGTCTCTCTCAGGGATGTTTGTTCTGAAGCGTGTGATGTGAATGGCTGTCCATACATGAAATGTTTGTATCTTCACCAGAAGTTTTGGCATCATCTTCTTGAAAGATTGCTTAGATGCTAAAGCTCCCATAAATACCAAGTATATTTTGGTTCAACCTGTATCTGTCTTTCTTCTCTTCATCATTCATCCATTGTCATAGAGTTATCTAGCAGATCATCAGGTCAGTTCAGATGTCTGGTGAGTAATTTCCTGTAAGATTTGAAAAAAGAATGCGTTCTGCAATGCTAAATCGTGTTTCTATAAGAGAATTCATGTATGTCGAGTTTGTTAATTATTAGATTTCACAAGTACCACTTCTCTTTTCCTATGTGCTTTTAGCGCTTCTGTCCTTCAATATTCACGCATCTGAATGGGAAGGTGGATCTTGTTTGAGTTAAAGCAAAACCTACTGAACAAGCAAGCAATATAGTGTTGTGTACAGTCTGGAATTGTTTGAAATCAGAGTTGCTTTCAGCAGAATATTCTGACATTGAAGCCTGAATCACTGATTTCATGGTCTGGGTAACAATTACTTGACATTCAAATGGGAATCTGTAGGAAGTCTTTTTTTGGCAAGTCAGGCAAGAAATAATGATGGTCTAGGTACTGCTTGGCTTTTCTGGTCTCCACTATAAAGTATGAAAAGACATAATAGAAATAAAGATTAATACCAAACTCTCTATTGGAAAATTTGATGATTTATCTGCTTAGGAACTTGTTGGGACCTTAACAACCTCAATTTTGCAGATTTTCTTGTGAGACAATAAAGAAAGAGCTGGTATTTGCCAGCATGACAGAGAGACTATTCAGATCCGGCTAACATCAGAATTAGAAACAGCTTCGTTCATTACAAGGTATGCAGGCTTAGTTTTGGTGTGTTAAGATTGATGCTGAGGATGATACAAATAGAGAAAGTTAAGCTGAAAAGGACTAGAAACAGCCTCATACCAACCTTATCTTTCTAACATTAGTTGGTATGAGGCTGTTTCTTGACCTTTTCAGCTTAACTTTCTCTATTTGTATCATCGTCAGCATCAATCTTAACACAACAAAACTAAGCTATCTTTCTAACATTAGTTGGTATGAGGCTGTTTCTTGTCCTTTTGAGCTTGACTTTCTCTATTTGTATCATCATCAGCATCAATCTTAACACAACAAAACGAAGCTGTATTTGCTATTTGATATATCCTGCTGATATGATATATATATATATATATATATATATAGTCACACACTCGGTAAAGATATTAAACATTCATATCCATGCATATTTAAAAGATTTATACTATATTTATATGGAGATCAAAACTTAAAAATATTTTTACGAATATGTATCCTTTTTTATATATAAAAATCAATAATTCTCAATGAAACAAAAATCAAAATTTGTGGATAGGAGATCGTCCTTTTAGTAACTTGCAAACTCCACTAGAGATTAGGTTCACGAGAATCCTTACCTACTCTTTGGCCTTTAGCACTGTGAATTTTCTAACTCATAGGAATAACAATATGATTCTGTGGGCTTTTGTTTGCCATTTCACAGATAATAGTAGACCTTCTCAAATAAGAAAATAATTTGTACACGTGACATGTAGTCAGTATCAGTCAGCTTCTTGGACACTTCTTGCACTGTTTTCTTTATTTACTCATAGCATATGACACTAAAAGCCTGCTTGTGTCAGTAAAATATGATGCTATTCAGCACCATACGAATCATGTTTTGGGTAAAGAAGCCTCAGATATCTCCTTATCCTATAGCTGCTGGTTTGATGTCAAATTGTGGGGACTGCTTTTTAATGAATTTGTGCAATGCTGACTCACTTTAGCCTGATTATTGGTAGTAGTTGAATTGCTTATAAATGCATATGCACATATGACGTGTCTCTCACCATCAGTTCCCTTGAAGACTGAAGCTAAGGCACAGCATCAAGATAATCTTGAGCAGAAGGCAAGAAATGGATTTTGATTCAAGTTGCAAGGTAAACAACATCAACCCCCACATTACTGTCTTTCATAGAATTTCATCTCTCTTCTTTCTCTCTTCTGGGTTTCTTTTTTCTTTTTCTCTTTGTTTTGATCCCATGTTGCATTGCTATTTTTCTTTGTATGTTCATGTGTCTGTTCTTCCATGTACAGCCAGATCATTCAGTTTGATCTTTGTTGAATTTTTACCGAAAAAACTTCTGAATTGGACATTAGCTCTTACTTACGAACAAAACCCACTCAAATCTTCCCATTTGAGTTTTAGTGGATTCCGTCTAAAATTTTTCCAATTGGAGTAGCTTCTTTCAATTTCCCTTCATTGTTCTTGTCTCCGTAGATGCCATGTACTTGTGTTATCTTTTGGTATTCTTTTACTTTTTAGTTTTTGTTTTTGAGATGATCATCTTTTGGTATTTTTTACTTCTTAAGCATTTCTTTTTAACACAACTAGTTAGCTGATAAATCAGAACCATTTGAAGCTAAACCAAATTGACCATGTAACAAATTAACCCTAGAAAAATCTTGAAACATGATCTGCATTTACCTGCCAGTCTACCACACACTTGTCCATTATAACTAAATGAATAGTAGGATACAAATCTGGTATTTTCCCAAGATTAAATGGTCAATGGTCCTGAAATGACCATTCTGATCGTACATTCTGAATTATTATGATGAAATAATAGGATAAGATTAGTTTCTAATTAATTGGTTGAATCCCAAGCCCTTGAGCAAGAGATAGCCAAATTAATCCCTCATCTTTATTGTGGTGGTCAGATTAATTTCCTGCTGTAACGTATATCAGCTTGTAAAATAAAAATTAATTGCTTGGGTGCACAAAGATGTGGACACTTTGATTCTTGACCTGAGATTTTATACAGGTCTACCTACCTCTTCCTTAGCCTTATTGTAAGGCTGATCAACTTATAGAGAAAAATCAAACACATTGATAAGGACTAAAGAATTTGAAGAATGTTTATCTACATTTTATCTCACTATGGACAAAGAAAAGGTACATTTTCACCAATCTATGGTCTTTGATCTCTTGAAAAACTTTTCTATAGTGCTATTACCACCTATGTAGTTAATCTCATCTATTTTTCCAACATCAGTAGATATCTAATTTTCTCTTGTTCATCTTCGTTGCGTAGAACAAAAAAACTGCAAATGAATCCATGCTGATATGTTGCATGCTCTTCATCTCTGAATCACGTAACCGCACAGCTCTGGACTTAATTGAACGAGCTGCTAGGCTAGACCCGGAAACTGTCATTGTAAACCAATTTGAGGACAGAGTTTATAATAGGATCAGGTTCACTATTGTATCATATGTTGTTGTTGATAGCACTGGTAGTCCCATTTATAGTCCGTTGCACCAAACTGTGCTAGCCATGGTTGAGGCTGCATATGGAGCCATTAACCTTGAGTTACACACTGGGGCACATCCTCGAATCGGCGTTGTTGATGACATTGCTTTCCACCCTTTAGCTGAAACATCATTGGATGAAGCAGCCTGGCTTGCTAAGGCAGTGGCAGCAGATATTGGCAGCAGATTTCAAGGTTGGTCCAAAACTTTAACTAGCGCCTTATAGCACTGCAGATTTCGATATTTTATGTGAAACAGCAGTTTGTAGTCTCATGAGCATCCACTACATTGTTATTTTCCTTTCTTCATAAATTGCAGTGCCAGTCTTTCTTTATGCTGCTGCACATCCAACAGGCAGGGCCCCGGACACAATCAGGCGTGAACTGGATTACTATAGGCCAAATTTCATGGGCAGCCAATGGGCAGGTTGGAACACCCCTGAAACTCTCCCAGAAAATCCTGACCATGGCCCAACCCATGTGTCTCCGACCAGAGGAGTCACACTGATTGGGGCACGGTCATGGGTCACATTGTACAACATACCGATCATGTGCACCGATGTTTCGACTGCTCGAAGGATTGCTCGGATGGTTAGTGCTCGTGGTGGTGGACTACCAACAGTGCAATCATTGGCCCTATTTCACGGCGATAATTCAACTGAGATTGCTTGCATGCTCTTGGAGCCTAATCGGATTGGCGCAGACAGGGTCCAAGCACAGGTTGAAATGCTGGCAGCTCAAGAAGGGTTGGACGTAGAGAAGGGCTACTTCACTGATTTTTCACCAGAAATGATTGTGCAAAAGTACATGAATTTAATCTCAGCTAGGAGAGGCTGATCAAACATTTGTTTGGACATTAAGCTGACTGTCAAGTTTCAGTTGACCATCATGGTCAAGGAACATAACCAAATAACACAAACTGGTCAACTGTTCAAATTATCAAGTTTACTCAATTGATAGCTGCCCTCTTATAGTATACATTGCAGGAAAAGAAAACAGAAGAAACAACATAACCTAAGCTGAGGTAATTTCTCTAGTAAGCAAAAAGGGATAAGAAATTATCAAAACTGCATATGTGCAGTTGTCTGTTATATAAATCACTTGCTGATTGTTTCTTCGTTCTACTTCCTCGTACTTGTTGTCTGATCCTGATTCTGAGAAACTTTTTCTATCACTGGATTCAAAATTTGACAGGATCTTTGTTGTATCTAAATTTGGATTTGGACCAGATAGCCCAACAAATTAAGAGAATTGACAAAACAGAGATGCTAGGCCCAAATAAAATCTAGGCTCAACAAATTAGCAAGTTTCGTGAAACAAAGAATGAAATCAAATATTTAAATCTTTTTAAACGAAGAAGGTCGTAATATTTGTATTGTTATCGACATTATAAGGTATCAATAATAATCATTAGTGTAAAAAATATTTTAAAATTCACAAATTCTTAAGAACTGGTAAAAAAATTTTGATAATAATTATCATATAGACCACTTTGCATATGATCTAATATAAGTAATCTCATCATAATATGATTTGATTATATAGACCACTTTGTATATGGTATAATATAAGTAATCTTATCATAATATGATTTGATTATAGCAATGTTTTGTCATCTATGTAGTGTTTAACATAACAACAATTTATCACAATAAACTATAGAAATAATTAATACATTTTACAACACTTCTGCTGAATGTAAAATCCATTTATTTGTTAAAAATAATATATATATAGCTCACCACTGATTGGTGTAATACACCAGGAATGAGGGCATAAAAGAAAACATAAGCTGGGCAGATTGAGAATTCCGCAGGACATTTCTTTTTTCAACCTTGAGCTTTCATTGATTTAAAAAAGCAAAAGAGTTGCCACCATTCTACACCAGATGTATGATCTATGAATATACCAATGTACATTTGAAAGTTTGTCAAAATTTTCTTTCTATCATGAACACTGTTTTTTCCGAAAATCGTTGGACAACAATGTCTTAAGCAGTTCATGCAACCTCTCAGCACCAGGACCGGGTCTAAATACTGAATAACTACCACGCACAGAGCATGGATCAGATCCATTGTCCGAGCTGCCGATACACCATGCTCCAGGAGCAAACCTGCCTGTGCGGTTTAGAATCTCTTTATCAATCTTGTTTAAAACTGGATCATTCCTTGCAAATTTTCGGGCAAATGGAGCATTGCTTTTAACCATTCTATCGAAGTCTTTCATTGTCAAAGAGACAGGGTGTTGCTTAGGAGGATTGTCCCAGGCTATGTAGTGGAGATCATGGCCAATGGCTGTGTTTTGGAATTCTTCAGTGTTGCAAATAACAGTGTGGAAATATCCTTCAGGAGAGGAGATGAAATTTGTGTAGTACATTAGGATAGTTCGTGGAAGGTTCTCCCATCCCATTATACAGTACTCGAGAAAGGATCGAGTTAGCATTATCCATGCCGAACCTGTATACAAGCAAGATAAACACTTCACATTTTCTTTTCTTCTCTTTCTTTTTCATATTAAAAATAAAAGAAATAAAGGATGAAGTCTGTGTAGAAATTAATCAGATTTTTTTCAGAGGCCACGAGTTAAACAGTTGCAGGAAACCGTCTAGATCCAGAGTTAAAAGAATCAAATGACCACACGGCAGTTAGCCTTGTGGTACTCTACCATGCAAGGATTTGGTATGGTCCCATACTACCTTAATAACCACCACTAAAGATAATCTAGTGGGCTATCAAATGACTCCATGAGATTCAAAACAAGTTGCTTCCTAATGGGCGTGTAAAGCAACTCAAATGCTTGTGCTTCTAGAGAAGCCACGTTCAAATTTCGGACAGGGAAAGATGCAACAAAAGGAAGGGTAGAAGACAAGATACAGAAAGAAAACCGCCGTTATATTTATACAGGTTAGCCAACTTGAAAGGAGAGATCCAAAAGACACTTTTCAGGTAAAAGATCAAAACAGTACGTTGTTTACACCTACTGCATTCTCTGCAACTTGCAGTAACTGACTGCACAACTAAATAATGATAATGACTACATGTCAGCATTCATCCCTATCACAAGTAAGATGTCAGTATATGGCGATATGCATTCCACAGTATGCCAAATTTTGGTCAGGTAAGGCATAGTTATATGGTGAGTATCTGAGAGAGAACCGCCTCATGCATTGGTGTTTGCCATGCATTACCACCGTGTTTCCTGTCCTCATATGCACACCACCACACCGGTGGGTGTCTTTGATGCTAATAACACATACAGAGAGCAAGAGGGAGATGGAGATGGAGATGGAGATGGCAATGGAGTATGGGATATGCAGTGATATATGTTTCTGCTATGGACAGTTTCAAGCTAGCATGAATCAGAAATGCAATGCAATCCTTCGAAGATGCAAATATCATCTCATAGCTAAATAATTCAAAAAACAAAAAACCACAATGTTACTGTGTGCTTAATGAACCCATGAAGCTTAGATAGACATGCATACCAGTAAACAACTTGAAAGACGTGGGAAGTGATCGACGTTGAGTGGTTAAATAAAGGTCGGATTTCTTTGATAAGTAAAGGCCTGGATCAACAATAATTGGTTTTGCCCTGCTGTTCCTGCAACAAGTTGGCAGATCAAAAATGACCTAAGTGAATTCTTTTTTCAGAAAATAAAAGCAGATGAAGATTTGCTAAGGTAGTGATGCAAAGTTTCTCTGTTTTCTTTTAACTTACAATTTCCATCCAGTTAGCTGTGCATGTTCAATGAAATTAAGGTTTCTAGACAAATTTGAGAACACGTGGAGCAAATCTGCACAATCAAAATACAATCAGATTTTACAACTGCAAAGTATATGCAAGTACACAAGAAATAGAATTGCCAGAACTTGACAAAAAATATTTCAATCCTCCTATACCCTTCAAATTATCGCGTGATATTTTGCAAGTCAACGGGGAACTCATTCATATTCCTGAAAAGCGTGAAAATATTTGTAGGCACAATGCCATTTCTGTCAGTTCATCCATCCAATGCAACTTATGAATAGTAAGTCCATCAGACAGTTGAGAGACAACCATTGAAAATGATTGTACACCAAAAACCATAGAGTAAGATAATGTGTCGTTGATCAAATAAGATAAATGCCAGCAACTTGTTATGGTTTATACGGTTTCTGAGTTTCCAAATTAGACCGTGCAGGAAGCTACTTTGGCAGGAAAAACACCTTGCATTGGCCTTTTCAGAAAATAGACTGTTTTCAAAGAGAATTGCTGCAGAAGACGGAACAAGATAGGAGCACAGGAGATGATCTTTTTCCTTAAAATATAACTAGAGTCGAGAGAAAAACATGCAGAAGCATAAATCTAATTGTTACAGGACAATAGCAATGTTTAAAATAAGTACACAAAAAATTCCCACTTCTGAATGACAAACAACAAAACTCCATGATCCAGTAACTCACCCCAGAATCCAGTCCACAACTTTCAACAAGCGTCTCCCTATACAAATAAATATCATCAACCCTAATACCAAGTCTTTTTTTGGCAGAAATTTTGAGGTTCCTTGAACCCAAAAGAAAGGGTTAGCACTTAGCAGCTGCACAGAGTGAGCCAGCCCTTCAGCAGGTTCACAACAATACAGTGGCTATATTCCCTTGAAAGACTGTTAAAAGGGACTTAGACTCCATGCGTAACTCTCAGTGTAATTAATTCTATTCTTCATATTCTAGTATAAATAGAATCCCATAAGAACATTGAAGGTATAATCATGATCTTCGAAACATCTTCCAAAAGCAGTAAAGAAATGTATCTTCTATAGCATGCATGACTGCTAATGTGCAACAGGAGGGGGCTAAAGAAAGACAAGGTGATCAATCAAGTATGCCAGCTCATGCATTTCCCATTTCATAACAAAGTAATTCTTTCCTTCAGAAGCAAAATCCAAGAACCTACTTGAGAACTATACCACAAGGCTTAGCCCTAAAGCGAAAAAATCTAACCTTCATATAATTAGAACTAAAGAAGTGGAATACCATCAGCATGGTATATAATATGGTGAACAGTATGAAAGAAACCTGGTTGGATCCAAATACCACATTCACACAAAAAAAAGCTAATGGGTTTACCTAATTTGTGAACTGAAGCAAGGATCGGATTCAATGACCCAGTATTGTTTTCGATACGCAACTTACTGCATCAATTTTCGCTCCAAGTTACGGTTAAGTAAATAAACCTAAGAAATCAACTTATTACACTACAATTTGTCAGATATTACCTGTGTTGGATACAAGAACCAGTACGGAGTTTTATGGCGTATGTGGAGAGAAGTTCAAATTAAGTCAATAAGTAATTTTCAATCTTAAACATCATCAATCCTCTTATGGCAATCGAACACAATAAGTTACCGAACAGAATAAGAAAAAAAGCAACAATAATAATTATCAAACAAGTAAAAAATGCAGCATCAGGTACTAACCATCTTGAGTCACGAGAGGATAATCTGAAGCACTGAGATTGATAAACCAGTCCCACTCCAAACTCTCCCTCAACATGATTGCAATTGCTTGAAGGGTACAGGCAAACATTGTAGGCCCCTTATAAGTCACCAAGTTGGACTGTGCCATTACACGCACATTCCCAACTTCTTGAAACGTTGGGTCAGTCTTCACATACCCTCCCAGCATCAACCTTTCTCGAGGCGGTGCTTCAAGATCCAAATGTAGAATATACTGATTTCTAGGATGATACACAGCCTGCAGAGTCCTCATCATTCTTTGACTATCACCCTTTGTCCCTGAAATGAGATAAGCTAATCTAGGTGGTTCCAATTCTGAATCCTTACTTCTATTTAACCATTTCTTTAATTCCGATTCTACGAAATACCCACTCGAGTCCTCCGGTCTTGAATACGAAACCATGTCAAATGGCACCTGGTCTCCTCCGTAAGAAGATGTAAACACCCCAAAAGTAGCCGACGAAAACAGAGTTAAAAACACTAGCAAGCTCGCAAAAAATGGAATAAGCCATTTTCTATCACTAAACAACCTTCCTGAGTGGGAACTTCCATTCTTCCGCATAGTCACTAATGCCTTTCTGATAGACATCGATCTCCTCTAACTCAAAAACTCTCCAACTTATCAGAGGACACCAAGAAATGCTAACAACTAAAGCAAAACCCACATCAATCTAGCAAACAGAAAAGAGCCAGATAGAAGCAAACCCTCATTTTCAGATAGATGAATAGCATCTAACCTATCAAGGCTTTGAAGCCAAGTTGCATTAACATGTTTAATAACAAAACCCCAAGACGATTTTCCCAGATAAAGAACTCAAATTTCCAAATTAGCAAGATCACAAAGAAATCTTTATGGCACAAACAGTTACAAAGAATAAGCTGAAAACAGCTAATAATACCAATAAAATAAAGGTATTTACAGGCTGACAAAAAGAAATAAAAATGTTAACTTTCAGCTTAAAAATTCAAACTTTAATAACCACGAAGCAGTTAGATTCAAGAAATGCAATAAATAAAAAGTGGGGTTTTGCTATAAACAGTTCCAGATCTAATAATCACTCACAAAAAAGTTAATAGAAAGAGATAAACATAGAAACAAAAAGGAAATGCTTAGAGTGTAAGTTTTAGAAACTTTAAACACAAGAGAACTACAGAAAGGAGGAAATAAAAGAACAAAAACTTACTAAGTTTCAAGAGTTCAATTTGTAGTTAAGAGAGGGACAAAGAGAGGGAAAGTTGCAATCTTTTTTACAATGAGAGGACTATGAGAGATTCAAAGATGGAATCTTTGAGCTGAATCAGCCGATTTTTATTCTTCCAGACACAGCCACACAGGAAGGTAATGGGGACATTAAAAAGAATAATTTGATCAAGATTTTGGATTTGTATTAAATTATTTAGTGAAAAAGCTTTTATTCTTTTGGTAATTATTTGAAGCATAGACAATAACGCACAAGGAATTAGGAGAGTCCACACTCCAATTCACGGCGCGTGCTTCGCCTCCCTTGTTAGACCTCTAGTCCTTTATTGTTCCTTCCATCAAGTCTCCTCCTAAAAAAGAAAAAATAATAATAATAAATAATGAAGCTAAATTGGCATGCAAGTGAAGTTTACGTTTTTTAAAAAATAATGTTGTTCTTTTTTTTTTAACTATTTGTCAATCAACTTATAACATTATGCTAATTTTTTATTACTAGAAAAAATAACTCATAAAATTTTAAAAAAATTAAACCTCATATAACACATGCACATCCATATTAACTTTATAATATGAATTATTTTGTCTCGATATTATAAATTTTGTTAACCAATATATTAACATGAGTTTTCGAAAGAGCATGAATCTATGCACTTCATTTATTTTTATTTTTATTTAGTTAATAACAAAATATCATCTCACGTAAACATAAACTTGTAAAACACAAAAGTATGAAATAATTGTAAAACACAAAGTTATGAAATCACACATTAATATTAGAGGTGCAATTTTTAGTGTTTCAGCTTAAAATAACAAATATTAACTTCGATTCAATCTACATGTACAGTTTAAATTGCATGTTTATCTCATCCAAATTCAACCCTTGGTACAAATTTTTTAAAAACACAATTTCACAAAAAAAAAATTGATATTTTTTATTTAACGATAAAAATGTTTTTAGATCAATATTCACATCAATTGAGACTAAAAATTTTTATATATCAGTCTGTATATTCAAATGTTTCAAAAATTAATTTCACAAAAAAAAATTGATATTTTTTTATTCAACATTAAAAATATTTTTAGACCAATATTCATATCGATTGAAACTAAATTCTTTCTGTATCAGCTTATATATTCAGAAGTTTCAAAATTTAATTTCACCAAAAAAAAAAATTTATTCGACAATAAAAATATTTTCATATCATTTTTATATTAATTGAGACCTGTGTATCGATCTATGTATTCAGATGTTTCAAAATTTAAGCCCAAAAAATATTAGAGAATGAGACAAATTTAGCTAAAAGATCCAAACTTAACCACGCGCCTATGCGAGCAGGAGATGTGGTAACAAAGTCCTAAAGATAACTTACGGCATGATTTAATGAGAAACTAATATCACAATCTTACACGGTACCGTCAGTTTCGAGCATCTGAAGTCTTTCTCTTCTTTGAAACTTCGAACTCCGAACCATCTTCTGTCCTGTTTCTCCTCAGTTTAAGAAAATTTAAGAACCCTATTTTGTCGGTAGTAACTGATTGGGTATCGCCCTTCGGACAGCATGTAAGACATGCATAGGTGATAAAGGTTAGGAGCAAGTACATTGGCTGATCCATCAAAAATTCGGAGAAACCTTAATTTAGCCCATAGTTTTGTTTCATTATCAATTTAGTCTTCAATCTTTTGATTTTATCAATTTTACTCCAATTATAATCTACGTTGGATAGCATCGCCCTTCTATTCATCCATTGTCGGTGATAATTAAAAAATTATGTCTAATTTGTATATATGTGTTAATTGTTTCTATATGAGACTTTAAAAAAAGATTTAATCTTTCTTGAAAGATAATTTTAGTATTAAATTAATAGAAGAAGAAAGTTTTAATTAACAAAAGGCTTGTTTGGTAAAACTGTGATTTTTGTGGTAATTGTAGGTGGAACCATGATTATTATAATTGTAAAAAAGTATTTAGTAATATGAGATGTTAAAATGCTTTCATGTTATATAAAATTCAAAAACTTCATTTTATAGTTTCTTTTTTTTTTTTTTTTTTACTTTCAAAAAGCTTTCAATTTTTTTTAGAATTTTACCAGACATTTTTCATTGATGTTGAGAGGAGTAGAAAACCCCAAAAGCTATAAAATAAAATAAAAGTTCTTTTTTTTTTCCAAATAGGCACAAATTATCCTTTATTTTATACTTTTCATGGACTTGTGCTATCAATCAGAACAAAATTTAAGATATTTTGACACTTAAAACTTTTCTCTTATATTAATTTAGTGTTAAAATTGTTTTTTATGAAAGATTGAAACTCATTTTAGCATCTTGGATTGATGGAGGCTTAATATTATTATTTTAATTATCTTTTCGGTAAAAATGATAAAATTAAAATATTTAAAAGTCAAACCACAAGGTTGTGACCTGTTAGTAAGTAAACATCTGAACTTCTAAATTAGGTCTAAAGTTGAATTTTTGTGATCAAAGCCGTTTGGAGGGTGCTTTTTAACAACTTCAAAAGAAGAATTTAAGGTTAGGAGCAAACCCTCTTCTGTCTGTAGTAACCGATTGGGTATAGCCCTTTGGAGAGCATGTAAGGTATGCATAGGTCATAACGGTTAGGGGCAAGTATATTGGTTGTTCTACCAAAAATTCAGAGAAACCTTAATTTAGACCATGTGTATTATTTCATTATCAATTTAGTCTTAAATCTTTTGATTTTATCAGTTTTACTTCAACTATAATTCACGTTAGATAGCATCACCCTTCCATTCATCCATTGTCGGTGATAATTAAAAAATCATGTCCAATTTGTATGTATTTGTTAAATGTTTTGAAACTTTAAAACATGGTTTAATCTTTTTTGAAAGATAATTTTTGCATCAAATTAATGGAAGAAGAAAGTTTTAATTAACAAAAGGTCTGTTTTGTAAAACTGTGATTTTTGTGGTAATTGTACGTGGAACGATGATTATTATAACTGTAAAAAAGTATTTAGTAATTTGAGATGTTAAAATGCTTTGGTGTTAAATAAAATTCAAAAACTTAATTTTCTAGTTTTTTATTTTTTTACTATCAAATGGTTTTCAAATTTTTTTAGAATATTACCAAACATTTTTCATTGATATTTAGAGGGAAAAAAACCCCAAAAGCTATAAAATAAATTAAAAGTTTTTTTCCCCAAATAGGCACAAAATATACTTTATTTTGTACTTTTAATGGGAGTGCGCTACCCGTCAGAAGAAAATTTAAGATATTTTGATGCTTAAAACTTTCCTCTCGTGCTAATTTAGTGTTAAAATTATCTTTTATGAAAGATTGAAACTTATTTAAGCATCTTGGATTGATGGAGACTTAATATTACTATTTTAATTATCTTTGAAATAAAATTGATAAAATTAAAATATCTCAAAGTCAAATCAAGAAGGGGTGGCTTGCTAATAAATAAATGTTGATTTGTAAGTCAAATCTAAAGTTCGATCCTTATGACTATAATTGTTAAGAATTTATTTTTAAAATATTTAAAATAATATATTAGAGAGTGTTTTTTAATCACATACAAAGAAGAATTAAGAAAAAACCGATCCGTGGACATCTTATTGCTGAAAAAAATATCTGAAAGTAAATTAATAAGGAATAACACATTAAGGGCTAAATCGAATGTTTTCCCTAACAAAAATTGCTGGCGGACCCATTATGCAGGAGCCACATAAATACGATTTTGCGCACGTACGTGGTGGCAGTGGCATTTTGTTTTGAATGATCATAGACGGGGTTGGAAGTGTTAGTTCTGTGGTCCCTTTGATTGATGTTTTCTTTACTATTTACTGTAATTAAGGTTAGGTCAGCTTTCACATGTTAGAAAGTTTTGGGGACAACACGTTGTGTCCCATGTGGCATAACAACATAGCTAGATATGTCGATTTGAAATAATGAAATTTATGAGATTACTTATCAAACTTTTTTTTAATATAAATTTACAAGAATTATCTTTTTTTTTATCTTAATAAACTACTAATAACCCATAAATTTTGTTTCAATCAATAGTTATATCGAAATAGTTGTTTATCTATTCGAAATTTATTCAACTTATACTGAAATAATATAAACTTGAACTCCTTTTAATAATAAAAAAAATACTATATTTGGTGAATATTCAATTTGATTTTTCATTGTTCGGTGTCTTGTACTCTTAACAATGAAATTTATATTCATTGGGACCTTTGGAGCCCTTTGAATTTATAATTTATTATGGATTTCGATAATAACTAAGGTCTATATGGATTAGAATTTGTTGCAAGGAAACGGGTTTTGGATGTTCTTTTCAATTCTAGATGAACCAAATATTTATACATTGTTATTGGACTAGATTCAACCAATTATGTTTGACTGA